AGAAACTAAGAAAAGCCGTTCGGCAGTCGGTGAAAATAGGCGGGGAGACGGGGTAAGCGTGGAGGTAGAGTTATGGCGGGGGAAAACAGCTGCGACGAACGGACGGGCTGGAGTGCTGACTGTGTATCAACAGCGGTGTGGCGTAGGGAGTTGCTTACCGAAAATCGTGATTAGGTTAGACGGCATGGGATAGAGCTGTAGGACGGTTTTCAATACGGCGTAGAGCGATTGTATTGGTGGCTTACTTCTCATTAGCTCGCTGGTTAATTTCCATGAAGGGGATTTGTACCTTTGACTTTTAACTTGTAATCCCTTAGTCTACTCTGCCCTTTAGCAGGCTTACGCACGGAAAGGAGGATGAAAGATATGCTGGTCTTGGGCTATGCTGGCCTCCGGCATGCATCCCGAATTCATGTGATAGAGTTACGACGTAGGATACGAATGAAACTCACAGCAAGTTTAATTGTAGATTTGTGATCACTCTTAAAAATCTAAAATCTACACGAATCACACCGATGCAATCTATGCGACTCTGACTATATGTACTTCAAAAATATTAATTATATGATGTCATTTGACAGTCATAGATAAACTTAGTCATCGGACGCTGCTCGAAGTTTTAGTTTATTTACTGCGTTCCTTTTGGTGGATCTTCTGTACTGCCCGACGTCGCAGCTGTGGCATTGTGATTGTGGCTTGTCCGTACACGTACAGTCACCGATCGTCTGTTCTTTTTTTACACGAATAATTAAAAATATACCCTGGAGATCGAATGACCGTAAGTATTGCTATTTGCTACATACGATAAATATCAAACAAAATCCATCGCGACGTTCCCTGATGTCTTTGTTACAATCGGATTTCAAATGGAAGTAACTGCCAACTTTCTTATCTGATGTTGTGGGAGTGCCACAATTATTTAGCCATTCTGTCGAATTATTAACATATATTGTTACATACCAAAACGCTCTACCATTAAGATCTATCCATTCATAATTGTGCTGACCGTTTTCATAATAAAATTGCAAGTGGTCTCAAATTTGTGTGCTTGATACAATTAACATTCAAAATTATTTTCATGAATACCGGGAAGTTGATCGGTTGATTCATAGTGCAGGCTTTATCTGTCGTTCGGCCCGACCCGATAATGCCGACTAGTCAGTCAAGCAATGTGTGTCGTGGTGTTAGGTCGTTTTGCTCAATTAAAATTCATGTCTCGAATGGAATCGCTTTGGAATTAAAGCAATTAGAACCTCATTGTCAGGAATGTTGGCGCAGTCGAATAATCAACTCATTAAACAGGAACAAAAAACTCATATTAAGGTTAGTTCTTTTATTTTGAATGTATCATGAACCCAGTAGAGTTCGTACCTAATTTACCGGTAGTTCTTTCGATGATACACAAATTTTTGTAAGGTAATGAAATCTATTGTAAGGGATAGGATTCTCGATCACTTGAATGTTAACCCTCTCCTGTCTGACTTTCAATGTGGCTTTATTGCCGGTAGATCCTGTACCGCTAACCTTTTGTCTACTTTGAATGATTGGACTCGCCCTCTCGACCGTAGTGACGTAGTCAGCCAGTGAATGCTGTGTACCTAGAAGTCCTAGATAGCGATTTAGCCAAGTCACTTGACAAGTTTACTGTGTTCCGCATGTTGCAGGAGCGATGAAGCTGTTGTTCATTCCTATTGTGGGCCCGAACCTAGAGTTGGGAAACTTTGTGTGGTCACCGAAACTTCACAAGGGCAAAAATTTAGTTGAGAGTTATGACACCTCATTCTGCTCTGCACGGAATCACATTCTCTACCTAAATTTTACTGAAAGTTTGACAGTTGTGGCGGGTTTAATTATCAAATCAATTTGAGTTCTATAAATTGCGTCTTCTTACAATGAAGAACTATAATTTTATCATTTAACCTTATGAGTAGGTACTAATGTTTGAGCACGAGGCATGAAATGTACGAGTTGCCGGAGTTGGCACGAGGCATGAAATGTAGGAGTTGATTACGATACTTGGGAAGAGTTTCACCTCAATTCGGTAGCCAAGGTAGTAGAAAACATTTCGAATCCTAGGGTAACTCGTTACAGGGCTGACTGCGTTTGCTTTATATATTGTAGAATATCGATATCATAATCGTTATTTCCAAAAGCATTAATTTTTTTTCTACCGTAATTGTAATCAAAATGATTTCGATGGCAAAAATATTTATGAAATTACATGCGCGGGCATGTAATTTAAAATTTCAGAATTTATTTAAGAATAAAGATGTGAATTTTTTGCAAGAGAATGATTTTTTTATTTGAATGATTTTTTTCTTACATAAATAAAAAATAAATGATGGCTCATGAGTGCAAGTTTGATGGAATGACAATTAAGATCTGAACAATCAATTTCCAGTATTCCAGATCATTCATATAATAGTGGACTACCTACCTACGTACTTTTTCAACGTGACGTCCGCATCATGTGCCATTTGTGCATTAACATTTTCAACGTCAGGGAGTGTGTTGACGGTCGGTAGGCCAAGACTAGGTATATCCATGTGACCAACGCAGTTTCGTTTACTATGCATGCCTTTAGAATGATGCTCATTAAAACGAAATTTACATATATCCTCAGAAATGGCTGTGGCGTGGCATGTTCATCTCGACTGTGACGATTTTCTACATCTTCATCAGATATCAAACAGGAGTGTCTTTACTCTCATTCCAGGTAACTGTCACAATGCCAGATAAGATTAACATGAAGAATAAGACTAACATGAATAACAAATATGACTAACATGAACGGACACCTAGTTATACCTCTTGTGTCAATCTCGTGACTTTTAATTTGTCATATCTCGAAATCTGAAGCGCCAGACATCGCCATAGACATTTCATCTCACGTTGCAATTAATATTTCGATTGACGGAATTTCCAGGGATTCATTCATATTCTTTTGAAATATTACTGCAGAATTCCAACCAGTTTATAGTTTGTATTACCCTTCAGGGTGGAGTTTCTTTCTTGGATGAAGTCTTGTCTTCTAGCGGAATCGTCTTCGCTTCTGATGGTGGCACCACGATTTACACTGCTGGCAACATCACTTTTCCTTTTTCTGGCTACTCAGCCATAGCCGTAGACAATAACGCTACAGTTTATGCCTACAACAACATTACCTTAGCCTATACAGGCTCTCTACCACTTCAGGAGAAGGCCACTTGGGACTTGGCTGTCCAGAAAGAGTCTTTCGTCGGCAAATTCGTTTTGTGTGATGACCAGAGAAAAAATGGACCCGTGAGAAGTTCCTGTAGTCTTCGATTAACGTAAGTACTATTTAGTTCATTAAGTGTAACGGAAGTCAATTATAAGTGCCTTTCCATTTCGTGCACTTCGTGCTGCTGACTATAATGTTTGATAGCGGTTAAAAGCTACCAAGGTGTCGTTGATTAGACATTATTATCTAGACATTAGCATCTTGACATTGTTATCATCGCTTACATATGATGTATAGCTCATGAACTCATAAATAAACCTTTCCATTTTGGGAGTAAGTTGCGGTTGTCTGAAAATTTGACCATGTCTTCTCCTATAGGTTAAACGTAAGGTTGCGGTATTATGTCCCTGTCTCTGTTGCCATTTGTTGGAGCACTGTTTGCACCAGCGATCAATACTCGGAATAGATAGAGCACTTTTGTACTATATCAGTAATGTATCCAAGTCACTAAGCTAAGAGCAAAGGCTGCTTCAAGCTTTGCTTAGATTTCTTCAGGTGAAAGTTTGTATGATATTTATCGTTGGCCGTTGCCCTCTGGTCACACATGGACTGGAGTGGTTCAGACCGTGTCATTCGAAGAAACACTGGTTTATAACGTCACTATCGTGCATGTGTACGAGTGGTCATTGTGCGTCACGGTCTTCATACCCTTAACCTATGAAGAGAATCACAGGAGACCGCAATTTCTTTGCAATTGTAAAATATGATGGACAGTCAATGAGCTGAATCTTAGAAGGAATAAATTCGGCACTGGTCGTACATTATTTGCTCCGACGTGTACTAGATTTGAGTTACTTTTTTATTGCAATTGCGCTGTTTACGTTAATTATCAAGTTATCATCAATTCCGAACAGTTAGAAGCTGAGAACACAATATATATACACAGAATGCTATTATCAACCATCTTATCTTATCTGCAGGGTCAACTCAATAGCCAATTCCTCCCTTGACTTCGATTACATTCATCGTCGTTTGGAGACCAGGTGGGACGATGGGTTTGAACAGCCTGAAAAAAACGGATCTAACGGCAAAATCAAAAATATTTTGGAGTGGTCGGAGGTTAGATTGATTTGTCAAAAAATTAATCGTAAAATTAATATTGATTTTCTCTATAAAAATAATGATGGTCCTGATTACATTATTTTCCGCGCAAACTATACCCTCATTCTGAGTATTATGTCTTATTCAAAAGAGTGCAAGCTTGAACAATAAACGTTTATGAAGAGATCTATGAAAAGATCATCTATTTTCACATTTATATGTTCGCACGACATTCTTTTAACTACTTTTAGGAGAAAATTCTACACATCACAGACAAAAGTAGTCGGACAATAGTTTCTCTTTTTTGTAAATAAAAAGATGTTTCTTCCCTAAAACACACTTCCATCGACGACAACAGTTAATATCAACTTCAAGCAGTATAATTTCAAAATACTGTCAATACTATCACTTATCTGACGTGTGTCATCGTGGGTCTTTAAATTTAAATTCCAGTAGAAATGGAGACTAGCCGAAAATACAGATTTATACGTTGCTTTTGTTCGGTCCAATTATCATAATATATGACAAATTGTAGTCATCTCGATCGAATCTCCTGGCCTTCATCACTCGTAAAATATTTTTCCAGACTCTCCATATAACCCATCATTGTTCATAACCGTTCATTACTCAATTTATTCGATGAATTTCTATGACTCCGGTGAAAACACATGTGCTTAACAGCTGAATTGGACCTCCCCGTGCTTGACCATAATGCGGAACTGTGTCCCATAGATCATGATCATTACATTCTTCCAGCACCGTATGAGTGATGGTCTCGTTGTGGGCTTCCATCAGCTGGTTTCTTGGTCCACCAGACTGAAGGTGGCACGTGTGACGTCGGCTTAACGTAAACGTTACAACCATCAACTACGAGCATCAAATGACCAGCGGTTGTAGAGCAGATGAACGGTTCCTTCAATCTATCGTTCACAACAGCATCGTAAGCGTAACTAACAATTAAATAGAACTACTAATCTGTTATAAAAGCATGAAAATGCAGAATCTTGGAATGAACAATAACCCCTGCAAAAAAGGGAGTTTTCCATGAGACCAATGTAGTCTATAAATTTACCTGCAATAGAGAAGGTTGCAGACTTCTCCCTAATATGGACTACATCGGGCTCACAACTACGACATTAACTATGGATGACATCACATAATTTTCACATTAAGCCGACGTCTCACGTGCCACCTTCAGTCTGGTGGACCAAGGAACCACCTGACGAAAGCCCACAACGAGACCATCAGTCGTACGGTGCTGTATGAATCTACGCAGTGTCGTCATGCGATGCTCCGACGCCAACCGACTCGCGATACCTAAGGTCCCATCTTAACCCTCTTCTACGTACCCTTAACAACCATCCTTTTTGGGTAGGATTGTGTGACAATATTGCTCCGGGTACTCGTGTCTGGCGGTAGAGGGTTAAGGATGGGACTCCAGCCATGAACCTTGCAGAATAATTTTTGGTGCTTGAATTTTTGATCACCGTCATATTTTCATGATTTTGTAATTATTTTCTAAACAAATTCTGATTTTTGAGTAGTTGTACTTTCGCCACTCAATGCGTCTTGTAACTTGATAATAAATAATTGATACCTACATTCGAAACGTTGTTAACGAATCAAAAATGTCCATCGGTATACTGATTTTCGATTTACCAGTGAAAACGAAAAGTATTGTTCGATATATTGAAAAAATAATAACAATTTTGTCAATAAAACAAATTCTCTGGTCTTCAATGAACCCTGCTTAAAGGAACAAATTAATTCGGCCTACCTATACTAAATACATTTACATATATCTTTAATAATTTCGCATTACTCGGTTCTAGTTCCTAAAGGACATTTAGGAAAAAAGCCCTTTCAATCCTACTCTAGATTTGCATATTCTACTTCCTAGATCCAAACATGAAACGCGCCCCATACCTCGCATTCCTTAGATCGTTCCGTATTTCCTCCCAATACTTTCACACTCCCCATCCAGAGCGTCCATGTCAAAACTACAGAGAACTTCCCAATCACTGAAATTCATCACACACACTCGCTGGTTCACACCTTCTCGCCTTCGTCATTTAGATGTGCAATCCACGAGCTCATCGCGGATTTATTACTTTCCACATATTTCTCATGCAGAGACACCCAACGAGAACACAGCATGGCGACCAACAGTACTTCAGTAAATGTCCCGTGAACAATTGTCAAATCACTGCAAACAGAACCCTCGTGCAGCCTGACGAAGTAGACGCCATTATACTGAACTCAATGAGAATGCCAAAAAGGAGTAAAAACAGTCCTTTTCCTGACAGAAGAAGGTGAGTTTATCAAGAACAATCTAAGCCGGCGACTCGCAGTTGTTGATATCTGGCGTTCACATTTGCACTTCAGTGTATCTCATTGGCAAGATTGTTATTACTATCCGGCTTTAGAATGTGTCGCATGGAAATAAAATTAAACATTATGAAGAGCATTAGTCATGTTCATGCGGCAACCGCAGCCAAGCCAACTGGGCAACAGAAAATAAAAAATATTATTGAGTTGTTTTATACAAGAAATTAATCGCCGATGCTTTTATATATTATGCTATATGCATCACCACTTCCTAGGCTGGTTGATCAACTATGCGTCGTAAATGACCTGTTTAATGATATTTTATCCACGGAAGAGGTGGTTATGAGAAGGATGTGTGCGGGAGATGAGGCCTACAGCCCATAAACGACAAGAGTGTACATATGTTGACAAATGTACGATGTCAGATTCGAACAACGGAAGCTTGCTGCTAATTCTTTTCCAAGTTTCACAACGCAAGTTGAAACTCTGTTGTATTTTTCATGCCGGCAAGAGAATAATCAGTCTATAGCCAGCGCTGAACCATGATGAGTAATTAAGATGCATTGATTACTGGAGGGAGCGCTAAATTATCTTGGATTCAAACGATAATACACGGAAGGATGGGAGATACGATACCTTATTAGTTCTATTATTTGACTATACACTGTTTTTTAAATTTACACAACTTTATTTTATAATTGTGCAGTTATCCAAATGCTAAGTTTGTACTTCAGTCATCCGAGGCTCCCGACCGTGTGCCGGTCTCAGACGCACAGGTCGATTACACCTTGGGTTACAGGAGAGACTCCGACATCGTGGCAACGTAAGCATTGCTAAAATTTTATGGAAGTTAACCACTAAAAAGTATAATATCGCAATGACCATGCGTTTTCAAAGCATGATTGTTGAACCAAGCTGGGGGCTCGTCCATAGTGTGTCCACTGGAGAAAATTCAACCCACGAATTAATTTTGCAATATAAAACGCAACGTTCCATAGATGTACATTTCCTCCCTAAATAACATGTATACAGGACTCACATATAACCCTTTTTTTATTTGTGTATACGTAAACTTGTTAATGTTCACAGGAATATAATTGTACACTTAAAACCAGAGCCAACCCACCCCAAACATGGCCATTTGAGTAGCACCAAAACATACGACAAACGAAGAATGGCTGCTTGGTTTGTCTCCAACTGCCGATCCACTCCCAGTAATCGAATGAGGTATGACACTGTTTCGCTTGATTGTAAGCTCAAGAGTCTATGTGATGAAAGTTAATTTCGTATGAGCTTAAAACAACATACCGAGTCGTCGCATTGTCAATTGACTCGATGCCTAGTATACTCGGAAATGATTTTATGAGTATTTAAGCTAAGCTGCGTCAGCTATACACCTGTTGATGCAAATTCATTTGTAATCTGGATATGGCGTTCACAAACCTCAGAATAATAAAAATGAATCTTGTTGCGAAGGTTGGCGCAGTCATTGCAGAAATACGGCTTGCAAGTTGACATCTATGGCAAATGCGGTAAGCTGCAGTGCGGCCCCTGGCCCACCCGCGCGGCTGAATGCTATAGAATGGTGGAGCAACATTACAAATTCTACTTCTCCTTTGAGAACTCTCTCTGCAATCACTACGTTACGGAAAAAATTTTCAACTTATTACGGTAAGTAGAATGGGTTAAATTTATGTAACAAGACATGAACTTACTGGAATCAAGGGGGAAAACACGGCTGCAAGTACTTTTTCGCTAACATGCAAAAACCAGTGTTCTAATGAGCAATTCAACGCAGAAGATTTTATAACGCGTCATGGAATATTATTAATCTAAATTGGAGTTTTTGAAGAGTTATAATTATGATATGAACAAAATTTATTTATTGGAGCCGAGGCGACTCTGTACAGTGAGATGAAACGCCAAATAAAGGGTCCACGGCGTCACTGCCTGTGTGACCAGAAGTCGGTTGCACCTGCGGTTCTTCCAGTTATGCTTTAATTTATGCCTCATTTTTTCACATAACCTAGAGACGCAAGAGAAATTAGCAGTCATAAACAAAGTGCTAATACATGCGTACAAATTAAATAAATTTAACAAGTAACACGTACGAGAGTTTACGCATCAATATGCGCATCAATAATTGCGTACTGTGGGGAAAACAAATATTTAGTCAGTCACCAATTGTGCAAGTTCTCCCACTTAAAATGATGAGAGAGGCCTGCAATTGACATTATATATAGGTAGACCTCAACTATGAGGGACAAAATGTGAAAAAAAATCGAGAAAAATAATTTTGTCGGACTTTTTAAGATGTTACTTGCATGCAAATAATGGTGGAAAATAAGTATTTGGTCAATAATAATATTGCATCTCAAAACTTACTTTATCGTATATCCTTTGTTGGCAATGACAGAAGTCAAACGTTATCTGTAAGTCTTTGCAAGGTTGGTACACACTGTTGCTGGCCTGTTGGCCCATTCCTCCATGCAAATCTCTTCTAGAGGGGACGCATGCCGGAGGCCAGCTTTGCCATACTTCACACTTAGTTCATATTCCTTTCCATAGGTAAGAACGCTAGAGTGCATGACGGCCTATGAAGTCAAGTGCTCAAAGCCACAGCGTCGGATGTCCACAACCACAAAATAAGCTTGCCAAAGGTAAACATGGCCATACTGCATCTGGCCAAACCTCATCTGGCCTAAGCAAAACGAGCTGCAACCTTTCTCCACCCAAAACAAATCTGAGTGACCTAACCTAACCTCACTGGCTGCAAGAAGTTAGAAAAGCGGTCCAAGTGTGCTGATAGAGCCAGTCATTGGCAGCAAGAAGGTTGTGAGCCGGGACAGCGTGAATAAGTTAGGCCAGAAGAGGTTAGGCCGGAAAAGGTACGGCCGGATGGGGAACTGCCTCTTTATGAGCGAGCATGCTTAGGCAGTAGCCGAAGACCTACGGCGCTGTTATCTTTCGGCAGCGTGTCGCTTGTCTGGATTACGGAGTTATCCAAGCGTAGTCTGCGGCTTCTAGTTCTGAGGCTGAGTAAAGTTAATGCATGGTGAAGTTAGGCATTAGCTCCCGGGCTTATTTAAGAGTAAAATTTGTGGCCTAAGGCTGCTCCCCCCTCTAGAGCAGTGATGTTTGGGGGCTGTAGGCGAGCAATACGGACTTTCAACTCCCTCCAAAGGTTGTCAATGGGGTTGAGATCGGGAGACTGGCTAGGTCACTCCAGGACTTAGAAATGTTTCCTACGAAGCCGCTCATTTGTTGCCCTAGCAGTGAGCTTGGGATCATTGTCGTGCTGAAAGACCCAGCCACGTTTCATCTCCATTGCCCTTGCTGATGGAAGGAGGTTTGCACCCAAAATTTCACGGTACATGGCCCCTTTTATTCATTCATGTACACGGACCAGCCGTCCTGGTCCCTTTGCAGAAAAACAGCCCAAAAGCATGATGTTACCACCCCCATGCTTCACAGTTGGTATATGGTGCTCTTTGGATGAAACTCCGCACTCACTTCCCTCCAAAAACGACGAGTTGTGTTTTTACCAAATAGTCGTGTGTTCCATCTGACCATATGACATTCTCCCAATACTCTATCAAACTATTCATTCTCTCTATCAGACTACAAACGTGCCTGGATATGGATTAGCTTAAGCTAGAGGACACGTCTGGCACTGCAAGATCTCAGTCCCTGGCGTCGTAGTGTGTAGCTGATGGTAGCCTTTGTAACGTTTGTCCCAGCTTTCTGTCGGCCATTCACTAGATCCCACTTATGGTTCTGGGATTTTCCCTCACCGTTCTTGTGATCGTTTTGACCCCACGGGCTGAGATCTCACGTGGAGACCCAGATCGAGGGAGATTAGTAGTGATCTTGTAGGTCTTCCATTTTCTGATTATTGCTCCACAGTAGATTTCTTCACACCAAGCTGCTGGTTTCAGACCAGACCAGCCTGGTGCAGGTCTATAATTCGGTTTCTGGTGTCCTCATACAGCTCTTTCGTCTTCACCGTGATGGATTTTCGAGTGTCACGGTTCGAGGTTGTAGGCATGTGTCTTTTATATAGTTAACGACTTCAAACAGGTTCCATTAATACAGGTAGTAAATGGGGGAAAGTGAAGTCTCTTAAAAAAAGAAGTTACAGGTCTGTGACAGCCAGAAATCTTGATTGTTTGTAGGTGACCAAATACTTATTTTCCACCATCATTTGCAAATAACATCTTTAAAAGTCCGACAAAATTACTTTCTCAATTTTTTCACATTTTGTCTCTCATAGTTGTCTCTGCAATTGACCTATGATGTCAATTGCAGGCCTCTCTCATCATTTTAAGTGGGAGAACTTGCACAATTGGTGACTGACTAAATACCTACTTATTTTCTCCACTGTATATGCATACGCATCAACAATTGAAAATAGTAACTTTTAGGAAATAAATATGAAATCTGTTTTAGGGAAATGCTTAAGGGGAAAGTATAAATGTAGATCTTAATATCAACATATTTATGTAAGATTGCATGCATGATGTTACGAGATGCTAATCGGCATATGCTCAAGTAACGAACGCTGAAATAAGAGCCTTATACACTTTGTAGATTGAATTAGTCATTTATTTTTGTTAATACGGTATATTTAAAATTGGCTGTGAGCATCCCAGATTATAGTAATAGAACATCTTTGGGAGCGAAATAAGAACTGACATAAAAGTGGCATTAAAGCAGAGGGAAAATGAAATTTATATTTTAAGAGAGTTGTTCAGAATTTTATTTTTTTATAATGGAATTTAGGCTAAAGCGTGTGAGGAATTAGACACGGCACTCGGCAAAAAAAATGCATCTTGCTTCACCAGGTCTGCTCATGACAATATTGAAGAAATTGCGTGATCTCATCTTGACGTAAGATTAAGCTGCGATCTAAACCTAACGGAACATTGTAAATATTCCCTCAATGTCTCAGGCTGAGGAATCGAGATATCAATCTACTAGATCGCATCAGGAACCGAAGTTTGATGAGCCACAGCGCTTGATTTAAATGTCGTGATTATTTGCAATCAAAGAAGCTCTATGTAATGTTGCACAAAAAATTCCGTTCGAAGAACTAAAGTTCGTATTTATGGCGTTCAACTCTTTTTATTGTCTTATGTGAAATTTTTATTCGAATAATGATGTGAAGATTTAATTTCAATTTAATTCGACTGTTATAATTTACGTCATGATAACGAAGTCTTAGAGCGAGGGATTCGCGACCACGATGTGAAATCTTTGCTTTGTCCTCAGCTTACGCAGTTGCTACTCTTGAGCTGGTAGTCTTTGCAATATGTTATGTCAGCAACCTTTCTTTGGAGCAACGAGCGGCTTTAGGGTAACCGAATAATGGCCTGCCGTTGGCGAGAACTAATTGGCCTCGGCCGACCACAAGACATGTATTATAATACGCCCCCAAAATTGAGTACCCCTTCCCCGCCCCGCCCCGCCCGTCGTGAACTGACAGGTTAGTAATTTACGACATGTTTCCCCTTAAACCTCCCACAACGCCCGCATGTGAACCATTAATATACGGATTTTCACTCCACATGAGAGTAAGACTAGTTTTTGGTGACAAATAACCACAAAATAGAGGTTGGATCACTTAGGTATTCAATACGAATCAATACAGGATAAATAGTTCTTCTTCCTTAGGCTATGTCACACGAATTTAGACGAGTCGGATAAAAAATAAAAATCGATGTACAATATTCCCATTATTCTATAAATTTTACATATTATTTGTTACTGTAAAGCATTTGTAAATGAATAGCTGAATAAGCAGAAAAAAATTCAGATTGAGGTTTCATTTACGAGAGGAGTTATAATGATTCAACGTAGATTACTCAACCAGCAAAGCCTGCCTGAGAGCTCGCGGTTCTCAATACGAACTTTGATTAAATTATCCCAACTGTTTTGAGATTACCTTGAATATTTTGTACTTTTATTATGGATATAATAAGTATTTTTCGTTATTAATGCTTATTACCGATTATGACAGTTGCCACGTTCTGTCGGAGGAGTTTTGAGCTTTTCTGTCTACTGCCCTTGGTATCAATGGCAGGATCTCTTGGTATTAATGGCATGACAACATAAATTTATTATGACAAAGGTACGACGTCATCCCGGTGACGTACGGCCTGGGCCACGAGTTGACCGGGGCGCCGAAAGACGCCTACATCGACGTCTTCGACTTCCCCGACGTCCAGTCGCTGGCCGCCTACCTCCTCTACCTCGACTCCAACACCACCGCCTATAATGAATACTTCAGGTACATCACCCCACACTTGCTACCGACTCCAACACCATCGCCTATAACGAATGCTTCAGGTACATCACCCCACACCTGCTACCGACTCTAACACCACTGCCTATAACGAATACTTCAGGTACATCACCCCACACCTGCTACCGACTCTTACACCACCACCTATAATGAAAACTTCAGGTACATCACGTCGTGCTATCCATCAATTAGAGTACCCCTCCTGCTGCACATATCGTTCAACATTGAAGTACAAATTCGGCTAGCTGTGTCGATTTTTATAGCCAATCGTCAGTGCGGCAATCATTCGTAGGCACGTCTTTTTCGAAGCTGTAATACCGTCTCGCCGCTTTTATATATATCGCATTGTTAGCCAGGCCGCGATTTTGCTAAAGGCTGTAGGTACTAAGGGGTTGTTTCAATTTCTACTGACATGTGTTGCTCTAGGGTTTGTGTCGCATCGCTGCAATAATTGCTGGTTCGTTCCCGTTACTGGAATGATATTGTCAACTAAAATACGTAGTACATCTCTTGATAATTGATAGGTTCAGTGTAAAAGGCCTAGCGGCCTGTTCACCACGCCTGATTGGGGGGTTGCTTCTTGAATATTTGGCCTGGTTAGGTTGCATCTTGACTATTTGTCGCATGCGTGGTAGCAGTTAGTCTAGAAGTACCAATAGGGGAGTTAATGACAGCATTCGGAGTCGTACAGTTCTCTGCGTGTCACCCAGTGCTTGTCGAACCTGATCTTGAAGGCGTTGATAGAGGGTGTAGTGACGGCGTTGTCCGGCCGGCTGTTCCATATTGACACGACTTGGTGGGAGAAGTAGCCGGCTCTGATGTTCAGTCTGCAGCGGCCCTTGGCGAGTTTCAGGCTGTTCCCGCGAGTATCTCTGCCGTCGTGAAGGTGCAGCTGGGGGCGGTCAGCTTCGTAGGCGCCGTGGACGTACTTGAAACCGTCGATCACGTCCCTTCTAATTGTCTTCTGTGCTCCAAGCTGGGTAGACCGAGCGAGGCGTGGCGTTCTGGGTACGGCTTGTCCTTGTTGCTTGCGATAAGCTTGGTTGCCCTCCTCTGAACGTCATCCAGGTCGGAGCACAGAGTCTTGTACCTTGGCTGCCAGACTGAGTGGCCATACTCGTGCATCGGTCGAACGAGGGTTTGGTAGAGCTGGATGAAGATCTCAGGCGTGATGAAGTCGAAGGTTCGCCTTTTAACACCCAGTACTCTGTTTGCCTTAGCTGTTGCTTGCGCTACTTGGCCTTTGAAGCTCAGGTCCTGTCGATCACTACTCCCAGATCTTTTTCGGTGTCGCTTTTCTTCAGTGGGGTCATGACTCTGTACTCTTCGCCTTGAGCATTGCACTGGGCGGTGTCGCTGGCGTATCCAAGGCGAAGCAGGTTGCACTTTTCGGGGTGGAAGCGCCGTTGCCAATCCATAGACCACTTGTGGAGTCTGTCCAGGTCCTTCTGCAGGGTTTTTCTTGCCTCTGGGATGTCACAGCGGGCGAAGACCTTGGTATCATCTGCAAAGAGCTCGATGTGGCTCTGAAAATGGTGCGGTAGATTGTCTGAAAATGGTGCGGTAGATTGTTGGTGTACATCGCGAAGCAAATGTGCCATAAACAGTTTCCCTGCGGAATACGCATTTACAGTTTTGTTCGTGCTGGTAGAAGAAGAAAAAGTGCATGTACGGTTAAAACTATGTGCAGAAGAAGTTTTGTTGGCTTTGTTTACTCTTAGTGTTGTGGTGGGTATTTGCCCACGTTGACCACCTTGCCGTTTTTCTCACCCACTTGGCGATGTTGTCCCCCACCGCTTTTGATTGTTCTTGTTTCTCTTTCATTTCCGTGAACAGTGCTTCTTCTTTCCTCTCCGTAGGGGTCAAGTCTTTCCCTGCACTTATCTTCATGCATGCGTAGCCTATCATCCCGGTGATCGCCGCCACTGATCCTGCTGTCAAACTTTCTACTTTCTCCTCCATGGCAGGGGTGAAATGGCCATCCTCAATACTGCCTACTCTGTTCTTTACTTCGACCATCTCTAGTCCCAATCTGCCAACCTCTGACTGTATCTTCAATAGACTGTCAACGAAGTTAGTTGCCAGCTTCGTGCATGTTGGCTTGCAGTACCAGTGCAAATGGGGGTTGCAGATTTGCTGTCTTCTACCAAATTTGACCTTATACATCGCATCATTCACATCTTGTAATTTTGTGTGGTACCAGCGATCACAAAGCCCGCAGTGTAGTGCTTTGTCATTGATCGTGCAGTGCACACTACACTTGCTACAGGGTGCCGGTTGTTCTTCGTCTGCTGCTGCACGGTCATTGCTACGACTCGCTTTCCTACCTCTGATTGGGGGTGGCATAGTATCTTCTTTCATCAACAGGAGGCCAGAAACCAAGTTTACTCGCCGCTTCCTTTGAATCTAAATAATGCGTGTGTGAGATGTAAGTTGCCGATTGAGGAAGACTCTTGCCGAGTTTCTAGTGCGATGCCATGCCGGATGCCGCCATCTTGGAAAATGTTCAGCCGAAACAGCCTTTTACCGAGCATGTCATTCAGCAGGTCGCATACGTTGATCGTTGGTGACTTTAACCATCCAGAAATAGACTGGACAGATGAATCTTCTCCAAGAGATGAGAATCACCCAGCATCCCTGTTCTTGGAGTCTGTACGAGACTCATTTTTAATCCAGAACCTGTCTCTTATACACATCTAGATGTGTATAAGAGACAGGCCTCCCCGATGACATCGTTGGAGCTCCAAGTATGAACGCGTTCAAGAACAGACTAGATAAAACTATGGAAAAATATATGTTCAGATTTGAAATGCCTAGCTCCTTATCGAACACAGTAGAAGACTAGTAGCTACTTCAAACTATCGCCAGTCATGAAAAGATCCGATCAAATGATACGAGTTTAGATCTATGAACAAGGCACGAAAAGGTAAAGAATCGGCGACAGGCCACATCAGGCCTACATTTCAGCGCCGACATCATTATGTTATGTTATGAAGGTTGGGTGCTTTATCGCCTGCCCAAAGTTCAAAAAACACCGAATCCGTCGTGGAAAGTTGCTGTCTGTTGTCTACCAATGTTCATACACTTGATTTGCCCAGATCACTTAATGTCATAAGGTTTTCTCTTACAAATTTCATTGTTTGCCAGAGCTAATTCAGACACGTCCGCTTTGCCACATTGCGCGTCGATCATTCAAAATCAGCACTAAAACGTGGTAAAGGGAACAGTGAAAATCTCGTCTTATTATGTCTCCGGTTGTCTCATGGCTATCGCGGCCGGCTCGATCATTGGCATTATACTGGTCAATGTTCCGGGATTTGTGCAGTCATTTGTCTGGTATACGAGTTGAAAGTTCATCAATGCCTCGAAGTTTTCCACTGCCGCTGCTTTTTAAAACCGCTGGCCCCTGGCCCTGGCCGTTGTGCAACAGATTGCGAATGCCCTCCCGCGTCCAAGACAACGGAATGACTTAACGTGACACTTCTTGGTTACTCATATTCGAAGCCCATACTCATGGTTAATACACTTATTTTCAAGTTAAACGAAACGAATCGTCCCTCGCGCATGAGAACTTCCTTGCCCTAGACAGCCTTTGCCTATCGCTAATGTAAACAAAATCGTTTTCAAGATATCCGACGGTTCTGTCATACGATATGATAGGTCTGCTCCAGCCAACATTCCACATTCGTTACCTTTTAAATGACTTAGTTCTAACTTCCAACTTCGATTAATATTTATGGGAATTCGGGTAGTTCCTTAATTTTCAAATCAAAGTACGTTATATTCAAGATTCATTGATCCTAATTTTCTTCATTGACTCGTCAGTAAATGTTGATAGGATTGATGCATTAAGGTTGATTTGAGACAAAGTTGATACCGTTTCAACAGGCTAGAAGCTAAATTCTTAGTTACATTCTTAAATACCGACTCTCTAAGTCTAAGGGATCAATCAGCTCCATATATTCTACTTTTGACACTTATTGATAGAAGCTTGAATACTGAAAATTACTCCTTGAGTCAATTCGCTTCTTCCTCCAAAAAATGCCAATTTTTTCTCAAATTTTGAATGTGTACATGAAAATTTACTTACTCCTCCAGGTGGAAGCAGTTCTATGAAGTGAACAGTTTCCTCGCGGCCGGCAGTCTTTGCAAGGTAAATATTTTTGAGGCCACGTACGGACTTCGGTTGAAAAATTTTACAAAAGTTCTACAATAACTTTTCAAGAACAGGTCTACAAGAACTTGTATTATCATGAATGAGATGTTTCATCCTAGATATAACGAGAAATTTATTTTAATTGGATCACCAAATTTTTAAATTCAATTTTTCTTGTTCACATGTGCAGTATTCACAAGTGTGAATTTCAGCAAATGTCTTAATTTTGCACCATTAAAATTGACTTCATCATTTTCTGACTGATGAATTTTTATCAATTTGCGTTCACTTGGAATTATTATATATGTTCGTTAGATTTTTTACGCAGGCTCCCAATGAGAACCGTTTTCTCACTTATTTTTCTCAGTTGTGTGAAATTCTGGTGCGAGGCATCGAACCTGAACGAGAATATACAAGCATGGAAGCCTGGAGCAACGAGGGCCAGTGCATCAACGTGGACGAAAACAGACGATTAAGTGACTTTATTGAGGGGAAACCGGTCACGTCTGTATTTTCCTCACCATGACATCAGTTAAGACGAAGTGAACACGTTGGTAAAAAGAACAAAGTGCTGGTAGTAAGTCTAATCATTTCATTTGTGCTACTCAAAATCTATAGCCGCAACGAAAATTACTTGATCTTCAAATGCTAATACTTGTCGTTCATCATGTATTGAATCATGTTTATATCGCTAATCGGCGAAAATGATACAACCTACTTTCTTTGATCTAATGTCTAGAGAAATTTTTTAAAAATTCCTAGGAGTTATGCTGTTTAGAATTTAGATCGATAAAAAATGGCAGGAGAGTAGTAGATGTGTCAAGACATCATCTGGAACGATGTCCATTTTAATTTTCCATGTAATAAATATGGCACAAGCCTGATCTAACAACTAATTTTGTTAATTTTCTTACCATCATCAGTTTCTCAACTACTTAGTAAGTTTTTATTTTTTTCGACAACGTGGTATTTTGTGAGTACATTTCAACTTTCGGTGAAGATATATCTTCCTTTTTGAGCGTAAAACTCCACAACTTCTATTGGGATTAATCCAACTTTCTGGAGTTTAGTCCAGAATTAATCCAACCTTCTGGAGTTTAGTCCAGAAGGTCCCAAGCTCAAGTGTCGTCGAGTTCATACCTAGGATCATGCCTAGGTTAACCGGTTAGGACTATGCTGTCAAATGATTTTCCAATTCCGGTTAAAAAAAATGAAGGGAAGAAGCTAATTTTAATGATTATTTTCTTATCAGTTTTTCAATCACTATAGACAGTATGGTAGCAATTGCAAATAGAAGTTGATAAGTTTTGAGTTTTATTGTGGGCTATGTCATGTAAGATAAAAGCTGAATAAAATAATTCAAGCAAAATATTTTCTTAGAGGATCATAGCAATGCAGGTATTATTGCAGATTAACTACATCCAAAAAAAAGGTAAATGGATTTCAGATTCGTAATCTACACCCCAAAAAACATATAATTAAAAAAAAAACACCCTTTTTTTTGGATGTAGTTAATCTGCAATAATACCGCAATGCAAACATCAAACTGCTTTGACTTTTCCATCTCGCCATAATATGTTCATTCGAACTTTCGCGAGTTATCCAGCAAAGTTGCGTCAATCCTGTCACTACGTCCGTGATGCCTATTCTGCGTTCAGCCTTCAGCGTTGCTGCCGATTCATTGGTTTACCAACTCGCGAGGAGGTCGTAGTCGTACAGTCAGTCCCAACTAACTCTCAAGTGAATTTTCCTAGTAAATCGAGGTTAAGCTATAATTATAAATGGCTGTGTATAATGTATATCGAGTATTATTACAGTAAAATCGAAAATAAATCTTTTTCTTGCATGCATATAGTAACATGGAGCTTTTTTAATTTACTGCTATTTTATGTGTAATTTTGTTTATCATTTGCTGAGAACCATGATGTAACAACCATAGTGGCAAACCAGAGCTTTTTTAGAAACAGTTTATTTTTAATTTCCTCATTTACTCAAGATTTGAACCAATTTCTTAAGTATGATAATGCTGGTATCCAGGATACTTTACTGGTCTACTTGTAGGACTCAAAAATGAACTTGAGGGAGAGTCTAAAAAACTCTCTGCTTTGCCACTATGCTTTACTTGTCTACTTATAGGACTCAAAAATGAACTTGAGGGAGAGTCTAAAAAACTCTCTGCTTTGCCACTATGGACTAACAACTAACAAGTTACACGCTGTACACTACACGGCAGGCAACTTGTACCTAGTAGGTGTTATGCCGTCGATTGCATTGCCGTGAATTTAACAGTCACGCACAGTGTTGCACACCACGTCATACAAAATCATTTATCTAGAAATCAAGTCTTTGGTACAATTTTCGATTTTTTTTTGCAAAATCAGCATGGCCAGTGCCCAGTGGCCACTTAAATTTTTGTTGAAAGTGTATCAGGAGTTAGGACAGGTTTGTAAAACAACTTTCATACTAGCATGTAGCATCTAGGTACTAGGCTAGGCCTAGTCACAGTTAATGAGTTATGTAATTGAGGCTATTATGGTATTATTGAGTACTAAATAAAAGATTGTTTGAAAAGTTGAAACTTGAAATTACTGTTGAATATTGCTTAATTTGTTGTGATTGTGTCATTTGAATTTTTCCAAAATCGAAAAGAATAAATATGACCTGTAAATATTTTTTCTGCTTTTAAGTTTTCACTTCTGGTTCTGACTTCTGGACTTTCTGGTCAATTAGGTAGGTAGATAGGCAGCATAGGCCTACTGCCTACAGGCTACAAGTTGCCCACTGCCCAGAACTGGCTGTTCTACGGGCACTTCTACCTAGTAAATTTAATTTCAATGGCCAATTCAAGATCAAGTGCAATTGGGGGCATAGTGGCAAACCAGAGCTTTTTTAGAATCAGTTCATTTTTAATTTCCTCATTTACTCAAGATTTAAACCAATTTCTTATGTATGATAATGCTGGTATCCAGAATACTTTACTGGTCTACTTATAGGACTCAAAAATGAACTTGAGGGAGAGTCTAAAAAACTCTCTGCTTTGCCACTATGATTGGGGGTGCGGGTGAATGATCATAAATCATCATTGCTTTTTGCATTCATGCTGAATGCTGATTGCAGACAGATTGCAGACTGCTGAGTCATCTGTTATCATTTATTTACTAATTTAGCATTTCAATTCTAAAAAATATTGTGAGAGATTGGAAAATCTTATGTCAAAACTTAAGTAGCTTAGCTACCCATTCATCACAAATATGATCACATGATGATCATTCTAGTTGAGTAGTTGTTGCCTAATGCCTATGCTATATTATATGGATTAGGCTCCGCTATAATGGATCAAAATGCAATTCCTTTTAATAAAGTTTCAACTCTTAAATGCCAAGCCATATGGTATGAGATGTGCAACTCAGTACAAGATGTATTGTAATACCTAAGTTGCCTCTCACAAAGTTAGGATCTTTGCCAAATTGATCAAATGTTTTAACACATTAAGTGCGGGGCCAAAACTGCTTACTGCCCGGCGCCCACTGGTGCGGCTATGTTTGGGTTGCTATAGCCTTAGCCTATAGTATCAGTGTGGGCACTTGGACATTTTACGTAGGGTAAACGCGGTATATACCGACATCGTGGGTAATTCCGTCACCTCTCTAGTTTTTCCTTTATATTAAGCTTTGTTTTAGTTCCATGCGTTTGTTAATGGTTGAAATGGTGACGTGATACATTTGCGCGTCAAACTACTGCCAAAACACTAGGTCTTGGCCATCTAGCGGGAAAATATTGAGATCCAAAGAGAGACAATGCACGCTACCCAGTGAGATCATCGAAAAATGTGTCGAATTTGACAGTTGACCTTGCTCTACCAAATAGTGAATATGCCCCCCATTTGCAAACTATGACACTTTCCTCAAGTTTGTCATTTGCATATGTAACTAGAAGAGTTCTACTACAATGCATCAAAACCTGGAGTTATTTAACCAAAAAATGAAAAAATTGGAGGGGGTACTCTGACAGGCTTTAAATATGAGCTTTTTTTTTCATGGGTCACATTTTTAATTTTTTAACCTATTAGATATGTAAACTTTTCAAATCTTTCTATTGTGTTATGTAGCCTCAGTATTAGGCCTTTAATGCCCATTGACAAAATTTTTCTATGTCAAAAAGTTTTTGAGTTGTGGGGGTTTTTGTTAAAAAAACAAAAAGTGGTCTAAGTTACCCCATTTTACGGAACTATGTTAGATGCAAAATGTCAGAGTTGTAGCTTAGAAGCCTATTGCATAGATACACCTTGTGATAGGTTTAGGATTTTTTAATTATTCATGGTATAGATGCTACGGGCTTGTTAGTGATTTCGGTCCTGTCTTACCCCATCTGACTATATATAAAGTGATCTCACAGTCATAAGGATCTAAAGTTGCTGATTGGAAAACAAGAAAAGTATAAACATTTTGTGAAGGATGCTCTGGAAAACCATTTATGTGTTGGTCATGTTTTGGTTCAAACCATAATCACTAATTCACTAGTATTTTCCATAAATTAAAACCTTGTAACTGGAAATAATAAATATGCATTATCTGGTACCTAAGTAAAAGAGTAAAAGTAATTTTCTATTATTTATAACCTTTATTTCATGACATCAACATGACTGTGCTATATATTTCAATTATTGTAATTTTTTGGGCTCCTCTAAATATTTGGTATTATTTTTTTATAAATGACCCAACAGTGGATCATTTCACAGCAGATGGAAGTGAAAAGCTATTTACAAGCAGATTTTTGAATGAAAAGCTATTTAAAGGTTGCATGCACGTGTTACCCCAAATAACTAATTTTACCCTAAAAACAGCCTGATTGTACAGCAAGTGTCAACTGAACATGTGATGATGCAGTCTGATCGCTCTAATGTGACCGCAACTACATTTTGTTTACATTTTTTTTGGTGGGAACTCATCGCAACTGATTTCCGGACAAGCTTTACTGCATCCTGATCCATCCAACGTACCGGAAACCTTACTTTTTTTCTAAATAGTTGGCCGAAGACTGACAAATATATTAAATGCAAGAATTACAATCAAAATGTGTTGGCAAGATCTTCTGAAGGTGTACATTTTGCTACCTATTGAAGTGTCGCCAAAGATCTTGCAATATTCATCCACTCGCTGCACAGTGGATTTCAGACTCTGTTTACTTAACTAGAATCAACCAGGTGCATTACTTGGCATTCTATTGTCCTAAGATTCTTTGGCAAGCAATCAAAGAATCTCAAGACAATAGTTGAATAATACCAGCAATACTCTCTGATAGTTGAATTTGCATTAAAAAATTTTTCTTTGTTAAATGAGACTTGAACTCCCATCACCAAATAGCTGTATCTTGAATGCAGGCAAATTTGCAAGTTCTTTTGAATGCAATCAGATTTTTTTTTTCGCTAAACCATTGCTACATTATGTCTTTGAAAGGTGTACTGTATATATTCACTTTAATAATCTAGGAGTTGGCTGACCACTCCTGCGTGAAAAAAGCTCATAACGTAGTAATAAAATCCATTACCTTGAATTGTGACATTGTTAGAAAATTTATAAAAGGCATCAATTTCCATTCTATCTGTTTTTAATAATTTATTTCAGTGTTCTAAGTGTTTTTACATCTCACAAATTAACTTGAAATGCTAAAGCTTGTTGCCTTGGGTTTTGGCCAAAGAGCCTTGCCATCTGCTCTTTCACTTGGCCGTTCGGCAATTCAACAACCAACGCTATGTGTGTCACGGACAGCATATCAGCAAACCTTCACCCGAGGGATCAGGTAACTTTCTTTATTTTCATGTGCCACATATGCTCCATACGACTGACGTGAAGTAACCATTCAATTTGGGTTCTGTTGAGAGATTCATTATGAATAATGACATCTTCAAGAGCTAATAAATTAAACTTCTAGCATACCATATAATTTTTTGATGGTTTTTCTTAATAATTAGTCTTGTGATAAGATTTATTCCTATAAAATTCCAAAACCTGTCACATGTTTTATCTCTGCAATTATACTTCAATGAAGTTAATTGTAGTTTTCTCATTTTCCCCTCTTTTCCCTCTTTCAAACGTCTTTTGATCCAGTTTAAATTCATTTTTAATTGTTTTTCATCTTGCAGGGATGCCTCTAACAGAGGCTCATTCACTCGTCGGGTAGTTAATGTCCGTCAAGTAGAAGAGGTCCAACAAAGTTTGAAGAGAAAAATTGGACGTAAGTGAAATATGTATACATAAACAGTAGGGTTTAATAGATAATGTATGATGATTTCTATACCAAATGACTTGGGCTTGAGTCTACTATAACCATCAATACCTAGTACATCCATTAATGGACAGTTAGACACTATTGGGATGAAATAGCATTTTTCCCCTGCCTTGCTTGCATGACACATATAATGAGGACAAGTGTATATCACTATCATTTTCCCCATACACCTGTGCTTTCATATTATCATACAATGTGCTCAGATTTGAGCTAAATTTTAAATGAAATCATGTCTTATCCTCTCTGAATTATTTTTTAAAATGATAGGATTTCAATAAATTTGAGTTACAAATTCAATTTTGTTGTAGAATAATAAATAATTTGTTTATGAACTTGTCATGTGTCCAGCAATGGAGGTGGGACAGCTGGCTGTGTGTGGGGGTGCTGTATTGGGCCTTGGTTCCCTCTGCTACTATGGCCTGGGATTAGCCAATGAGCCTGGTGCAATTGACAGAGCTGCGTAAGTAATACCGTAAAATGGGGTACGTAACTTAGACCACTTTTTTTATAAATGATGCCATTTTTTTACTAGCTAAATTAAACTTGAATTGAAACATGCAAAATACAGGTCTATACTTTAGCTTCACTCACCATAAATTGCTGGCTCCTGCCTCTCATAGTCTTTATGTAATTTCGAAAAAAGTGATTATCTCTGTTACCCCAGCTCTTAGGGTAACTTAGACCGGGTGGTAAAATCAATTATATTTTTTGGTAAAATAACTCCAAATAACTCCAGGTTTTGGTGCATTATTAGATATGCAAACTTTTCAAATCTTTCTATTGTGTTATGTAGCCTCGGTATTAGGCCTTTAATGCCCATTGACAAAATTTTTCTATGTCAAATCGTTTTTGAGTTGTGGGGGTTTTTGTTAAAAAAGCGAAAAGTGGTCTAAGTTACCCCGCTGGTCTAAGTTACCCCATTTTACGGTACACAATAGAATATATTTTCTCTTGATTTTTTAGCACAGGTGCTGTCTCCATTACCTTTCAATTGCACAAATGCTTGCAAATTTATATAGTCAGTCCATTCTAGTTAAAGCAAATTAAATTCCACCCTCTGTTAATGTATATAAATGGATTTTTTGCGATAAAATAGATTAATGCAATAATTACATTTTTACATTTACATTACATTTACATTTAGTTATACTTTTACAAACTCCGATTCTACCAATATGAGGTAATTTAATCATCAACTAAATTGTGGAGAAAAGCAAGGAAAATGTAAGTCGCTCAAAATCACAACTCCAAGCTATTATCTGAACCTGGTCCAGATGCTTTGAAAGTTGTTTTGGTTGCTACACAAGATTCAATTTAAGCTTGTACTATACTTTTATACTTATCCAATCATGACATTGTGAAAGTCAGGATGAAACGTTCCTTAGTGACAATGTCACACACCACAGGGTTGGTCTACCACACAAAGATAAGTGCCGTAAACTGGTGTAACTTAGACCACTCTTTTTTTAATGATGCCATTTGTTTACTAGATAAGTTAAACTTAAATTGAAACATGTAAAATACAGGTCTATACTCTAGCTTCACTCATCATAAATTGCTGGCTCCTGCCTCTCATAGTTTTGATGTAATTTAAAAAAAATCGATGGTCTTTTTTACCCCAGCTCTGGGGGTATCTTAGACTGTTATAGACCGGCTTGGAAATTAAGTTAAATTACCATATATAAGACTCTGTAGAGTCTGAAACCTAAAGAAAAAACATTAATAGGTGTATCAAACATGAAATGTTATATATGGTAATTTTAAAGTAATGTCCAAGCCGGTGTATGTTTCCCCGTCAGGGCTGACATTAGGTAGTCTAAGTTCCCCCATTGGGGGGTGGCGCCCCCATTTGCAAACTATGAGATTTTCCTAAAATTTGTTTGTTGTATATGTAACTAAAAGAGTTGTACTACAATGCATCAAAACCTGGAGTTATTTTGCCAAAAAATAGAAAAATTGGAGGGGGTACTCCGACAGGCTTTAAATAATAGCTTTTTTTATGGGTCACATTTTTAATTTTTTAACCTATTAGATATGCAAACTTTTTAAATCTTTCTATTGTGTTAGCCTCAGTATTAGGCCTTTAATGCCCATTGACAGAATTTTTCTATGTCAAATAGTTTTTGAGTTTTGGGGGTTTTTGTTAAAAAAAAGAAAAGTGGTCTAAGTTACCCCGGGAGTCTAAGTTACCCCAGTTTACGGTGGTTAATTAAAAAGACGAATAGGTAGGTAACTACAGAGATAAATGCTATTGTTACAAGATGCTTCTACTTGGGTAAATAAATATTAGGTAATTGATGAAAGTGTGAAACATTTCGTTTATTATGTATTATGTTTTCATTGGTTTTGCCAGAGTTTGGCCCCAGTATGTGCGGCATCGGATCAGAGACACCTACATGTACTTCGGGGCATCAGTGGCTGTGGCCGCTGGCTCTGCCATGGCTGTCTTTAGGTCTCCAGCTGGCCACAAGTTCTTTGCGTTCTGCCAGCGACGTCCCATACTGGTGATAAATCTTACCTTAATTACTGGTATACAGTGGGGGGGAAATAAATATTCGTACACTTGAAAAATCGTATTTTAATGTATGTAAGTACACAAACTTAACAGGAAAAGTGATTTAAGTTCTTTATAGAGACGCATAGTATTCAAAAATACTATCAAAAGAAATTAAATCTCAATGCAACAAAAAACAATGCAACATGTTCACTTTTCGGGTGAAAAAAGTATTCTGTTAACATGTTGCATTAATTTTTGTTGCATTGAGATTTAATTTCTATTGATGCTATTTTTGAATACAATGCGCCTCTATACATAATATAAATCACTTCTCCTGTTCAGTTTGTGTACTTACATACATTAAAATACGATTTTTCAAGTGTACGAATATTTATTTCCCCCCACTGTATATACCGGTACCTATGCTTCTGTTTACAAATTACTTCTGTTCTGATGTTTGCTTACAATCACGTAATTTTAGTTATCATTTATAGTTGTTACTATTCATTGTACATTGATAAATCGTTCCAAGTACTATTCAAATTCAATCAAAAGCTAGTAAATTTTAGTGCACCCTTTACAGTATGGTTTGTTAGGGCCTGCCACTCCTTGTATGATCCTTGTCAAACCACCTCATTCATTATACAAGTATTTAAGGTTGATTATATTTGTTCACTGATTTTTGTTTTTGAATCTCGCTTGGTTGCAGTCAATTGTTTTGCAGGCTTTATTCAGGTATAGAAACACCTGTAAAAATTGTCCGCTATGTCATCAGTCTCGTCTTTTTGCTTTTGTTGTAAATATATAGACTGGGAACTTTGGCAAGTATGCTCAATTTTTGTCTGTTGTTAACTCTGTTTATGCACTTGAAACTTTCATCAGCATACTACTGGTCAAAAATTTCATTCATTGCAGTCTTTTTTTTCTGCCATTGCTGCCATGGTTAATAAGTTACCGTTTTCTTTTACTTGACTAATGATTTAGCATGATGCACCATCAAACCCACAAACCTACGTACTGTTTACTGTGATTACGGTATATTTTACTGCTCGATATGTGGTTCACTTGTTTCGTGGGACAACTTATAGAATTACCCAGCTATTTATTCCTGTTGCACAATTGTCTCTCGCATTTATATTGATACATTTCTTTGTATTGCAGTCGACTGTGGGTATCATTGCAGCGATGATTGGCACGGGCCAGGCGATGATGGCGGTCCCTTACAGCCCTGGTCTGGGCACCAAGCAGATGCTGTGGCTACTCAACTGTGGCATCCTCGGCCTCGTCGTGGCTCCTGTTGGGGCTCTGGGTGGGGCCATTGCTCTAAGGGCAGCCTGGTACACGGCAGGTTCGTTGGGTCATTACAAGCTGGCGGTAGCTTGGAGAATATTGCTTCATTTGTTAACGTAAACATATTGACCACGTTTGAAATTTCACTTTGGGATTCACTTAATTTCTCTCGTTTAAATGTGGGAAAGTTCCACAGAATATTTCCACGAATTTTCTGGAAGATGAAATGATAAAATTTGAATGAGAGAGAAGTGCTGACTGGAACAAAATGTACAGGCATCGTGGGCGGGCTGTCGACTGTGGCTGCCTGTGCCCCTAGCGACCAGTTCCTGAAGTGGGCTGGTCCTCTGGGCATTGGCTTGGGCGGAGTGCTGGTGGCCTCCATCGGCTCTATGTTCGTGCCTGCCACCACCACCCTGGGCCTCTCCCTCTACTCCATCTCACTTTATGGCGGCCTCCTGCTCTTCTCTGCCTTCCTACTCTACGATACACAGAAGGTACCTACCTATGTTGCTTACCTCCTCTTCTAGTTGAAACACTTGACGTTTGGTGCGATCTTGACGTTTAAATGACAAGATTCCTACTGATTGCCCTTCACGTTTGCCACCTGACCCGCTTACCTTGTTAAACTTGGGGGCCGACCCCTCCAACAGTAACAAAAATAATACAGACGACGTGATCTTGGCTGATTGAGGAATTTATCAAGAAATTTATCATGGTCCCTGTTAGCCCTAGCCCATGTGATTCGGTGCGACTTGAATTTGCCGCTTAATGATAATTCCCTAACAAGTTGGATATTGTAACCATCTCTCGAATGCATGTTCGTTACGTAGACTTTATGTTTTGTGATACGCTTGGGTCATTTTGCTTGCTGTTATATTAAATAACAAGTTTATTTTTTGAGCTACAAGTGACCGGAACATGGTAACACTTCCTGTCCTACTGTTAGAGTTTAGTGACGGTTTTGTTGATTGCACTCCCCATACTTTCAGAACATCCAAATATAATTGCTGATTGTAAAGGTAGCGCTTCATCTATTGCCTAGTCAGTCTACTGGCTCGTATTTTAGTGTTGTCAGGGACTAGTTGTTGTAAACCACAACTTGAGGGTTTAAAGAGAACACAAGGATCTATAATAGATTTTTCGTTTGAAACTCAAAACTCCTATAGGTAATTCATTCGGGGTATGGAATGTATTGAAATAATGATGCTGATAGATTTACTTAACCCACTAATGGTATACCCGTAGATCTACCGCAGATAGCATTAAAACTTGAGGCCCGTCTACTTAGAACAGCCGTTAAATGTGCTTCTCAATGGTTAGTAAAAATCCGCAAGTACATCTGTAGTGCTGGCTCACTGTAAATTGAGAGCTTTGATGGCTGGTAGATGGCAATGCACTTTAACTTTACGTTTATCTCACACTACAACGCCGAATGACCGATCTTGCTAGATCGCTGCCCGAATACCGAACGGTTTTGTGGCTAAGCCACTTCTCCAAAGTTCCCAATGGTTGAATGATTGCTTTTCTTGTACAGTTTATTCATTTAACGTATTTCCTATGCAGATGAGTGGCACTTATTTTCATTAATTCCGTATCTACTCATCATTATTCAATTATTTTAAATTAAAACTCCAAGATCTGACACTGTTAATGTGTTTCTGGATCACTCCTATAATTTTATACATGCCTTGTTAACTCGGATGTTGTTAATTTTCTATAAATTTTCCGATTTCATTATTTCCATGTGGGCTCATTCTTACCACAAAATCTTGGAAAGTACTGAAACTAAACTTGATATGTATAAAATTACTGTAAGACTAACTAAATCTTGAACCTGTTATGCAGATCATCCGCAAGGCAGAGACTCACCCCGTGAGCCACAACCCGTACTCCGGCTGGTCGGTAGCTCCGTTCGACCCCATCAACGCCTCCCACCACATCGTCATGGACGCTCTCAACATCTTCATCAGGATGGCTCAGATTCTCGCAATGGGTGGCAACAGGCGCAAATGAATCGCTCATAACAAAAAATATACCCGATATCTAGATTAGAAAAGTAAGAAATCCTTAGGCAGATTATGAAAAGCAATAGGGAAATTATGATTTAAAAAATAGAGGAGTTCGCGCTGTTTTTGAGGCACTCGATTCAGTCTTGCCATCGTCTTCAAAGCTGAGATGCGAGCTTTAGTGTTCCGTCGTTTGCAATGACTGCAAATTAGACCATTTTACCACTTATTCTTGTGAAAATGGCATCCTATGAGTAAACGTTAGCTCTACATTATAATCGGAACCAACTTGGCTAGGTACTTCTTTTTTATCATCTTAATAACCTCTCATATCGCATGGATGTCAGTAATTTTCATGGAAATGTTTTTAAAAATGATAGAAGTATGTGAAGAACATGTAGAAGGTTTTGTTTAACAAGCGCGTTAATAAGCTATTCCACAAATTCCACTGAAAATTGGGCTTTTTCCCTAGTTTTTCGTTCTATAATTTTGTGTCTGCTTTGCTCGTGATGGCATATTTAATGTGTGAATTATTATTTTATGACGTAGTAGAACCATATATAAGTCCCGATAGCACCTGAACTTTTTCAGGAATAATGGCTGCGTTATTTGTGTGGCAAGAGATACTAAAGATCGGTTTAACCCGAGACTTCAGGCATCAGCAAAATTTATCCCTATTAAGTCGAATACTTCAATGTATATTTCTTAGTTCGATCATATCTGAATTCTAATATATTTAACCAGGATTGCGCATTACTTCGTTAGTAATCTGATTGCATGTATTGATTGATGATAATAATCTTCCTTTGCGTTTGTTACCATCAAGATTCCACAATAAATTGCAGGAATAAACCTGATTTGTGGTGCTCGATGATCAAACTCGCCAAATGCTCGGGATAATCGATAGTAATTTGTATTTGTGATTGACTTCAGCGCAAATTGTTTCCATTAGGAATTAGTTTTTGTCTACAGAACTACTTTGATATGCATTTCTTCGTGTATTATGCGGATTATTTTGCCATTTTTGGCCCATTGAGTTACATAAAGCTGATGCAGTGTGATAGGGATATCCTTCCATCAATGGTACTGCGGCCGTACCAGGATGCCACTACTACAGAGAAATACTTGAAATAAAATGTTTGTTTTTGCCCTCCTGGATTGTACGTAGTCTTATATGCAGGGTTTCCGTCATGGAAATTCAGCTGATTATACCTAGCCTGTCATTATCATTATGTACATAGCGTCTTCACTCGGCTCGGTTGTGTTGAAATATACGACTTTATCATCATAGTTTCTTTCTTACCCCATGGTTTATTTGCATCTTCATCACACAAAGGTTCTTTAGTTAATAATTTAGAAATTATTTATACTTGTCGTGTTTGGTTTGCTTAAAAATTTAAAAGAATTTAACTTCCTCTAACACCGTCAGCGCTACTTTGTCTCGGGCAATACAGGGATACCGTAGAATCAGCATTAAGCTACTACAACGTGAGAATGATTTAATTCATGTGATAACGTGACTTAGGAGTTTAGACCAACGATGTCCTTCGTTGAAGCAAATTATATAGCTATCCAAAAATAATGGTTATACCTATAATTACCTGGTTGGTAATCGCTTCTAAGTATTGAACATAATACTAGTATTAATAATGTTATGTTGTGTAATCCACGGAAGAACTAAACAAGCGGTATGATAAAGTACCTGCAATGAGCTTCAAACAGACCTCATAGGCTGCTAAACACGGCCATCTTGCACACGCGCTTATTATTTCTGACTGGTGTCCTGTCTTCTACAAGGCATCTTACTGAAAGTCCTATGTCCAGCTCTTATTTATAGTGCGTTGCTCGCGTCATTTTCTTTGGAAAAATTTAACAAACTGTCTATTTGACATACGAAATTAATACTTAGTTATTCATTCTATCGAATTACCATCTTTCGACTGTAATATGGCCTTTGCTAATCTCATGAGACTTCCTTGACGTCTGCATGTTGTTATATAAAACTTGTGAAGGTGCGCAATTGCTCATTGTTAGTGCATTCGCGGTAAGAGTTTATCGTTGTTGCTGCACTCCGATATGTTTAAGTGTCCAAGCGCTGATATATTCTCATCTAGTTCATCATTTGATCCGATCATCTGCCGAGCTTTATTTCCTTAATGAACCTAAAGACTGGTTCCGTATTCCACAGTCAAACTACACGAAAAGATGTAAGCAAATAATAATTATGAACGTATACAAAGAGGCTGGAAGTCCCTTATCTTGTTTCATGGAATATATGCGAAACTGAGATAAGTTTTAATGAGAACCGTACCATACCAACATAATTTTCCTTCCCATGCTCTACCTCAATGGAATGGTAATGAGATTATACGTTCATATTACCTCACACATTAGTTATTATGGTGTAACTAGCTACGGTATATCCTGTTAATGAGGCTGAAGAAGCTAGCAGGAAGGCTTATTTTTAGCTGTGTTAATGAGGAGTTGATATTTGTTAAATGAGAGTTTAATATTCCTGTGCTCATTTACTGCGCAAATTGCATTCCAACTTAATGGCTGCTAATAAACACAATTCGCTTCTTGTAAAGACTCTCCGTTTTTAATGCATTTACATCAGAAATTAATGAACGAAGCGTTCAATTATGAATACTGTGTGTTTTTCATAGCTGCAATTTTCGCAAAATTCTAGATGGGTGTCAAAGTTATGGTTATTCAATTAATTTACAGTTACATTGTTCGTATTTTCTGGAAACATATCATTTATCATTAGTCGTTACTCTACACCAACGACTTGGTCAAAGGAACGAAGTTGGAAAAATTCTATACGTAAAAATTCTAACACCAACACACCAAAAGCTTGGTGTGTTGGTGTTGACTCATCAAAGCTTGGAATTTTTTTTTCTTTGAATCCAATAATTTCTGAGCTTCAAAAACATCTCAAAATCTTTCTAGATTCCTTATACTGGATTAATTTTTTTCTAATTTTGGGAAGCGCATGTTCAATGAAGCAGTGAAAATACGGCAGTGCAAACTAACGAGGAAATTGCTAATCATGGAAATATGGGGTGAGCGAGTTTAATTGCCCTCAGAATAAATCTACATAAACGCGGTACAATTAAATGAACTTAAAAAAAAGTTCTTGAGGTGAGACCGGAAATTTTAGACCTCCTCACAACAAACAGTTCGTTATCGTTATTATCGCGGCAGCGGCATCTGGAGCGCGCCGTGTCTGTTTTCAGCGGCTAATGAAGGCACATTTAAGTGAGTTGTGAGGCTCCAGTTTTGAGGTGGCAAATAAAAGGGGCGCCGCAGCTGCTGCGAGGAGGCCTAATAATTAGGCCTGGCTAACCCAAAGCTCCCTGTTAAGCCTGAGATTTGAGTGGCGGCAAGAGGCTGCGGCGTATTCTTGTTGTTTACGCTAGGGGCCTCGTACAACTTCATTAACTACGTAAGCCCTGTTAATTAAGACGATCCTGCCTTGGCGTTTTAATTTTAGAAGCTTTATCTCTCGAGAGATAATTTCTGACGTCTGATGCTACCTTTAGATAAATTTGCCGACGTAAAAAGACAGGTTTCGTATATTGTATCTTTTCCTATTTAAACATTATAGAAATTAAGGCTGAATCATTTTAACTATTTTGGTAATTTTGATACTTATATTACAAAGAATTTATTTACACGGAATTGTATAAGATTTACGTTAGGGATGTATTTTCATGTGCAAAAATTGTTATTGGAAAATCATACTCAACTCTTATCAATTCAGATATGAGAACAGATGTCGGCAGCTTGGGGAAAATCCACAGCCCCTCGCCCACGTGTCACTCAAGTTCAGTATGGCGCATTCAAAGCTACGTTGAAGTATATTGTAAAACTAATGAATTCATCCATTTTACTGTATAGTTTATCAATCATTCAGAGGTTCTTTGATAAAATTCGTGCAGAGAAGTTCCAGTCGAAAACAAACTAGTTTGGCAGATCATTCAATTGTATTTTTTGCGCATTTTCTAATTTATGGAAAAAAGGCGCTATTGTGCTCGCCATGTCCGTCTGTCCGTCCGTCCGTGACTTCACGTTTTCGTCGACGAGAAAATGCGCTCTCTGTCACTCACTGCAGTGAGTACTGAGTTATATTTTTTTAGGTTCAAGTCATTCGTAATTAATGAAAGTAGCATACCGAAAAAAAAAATTGTTACGTCAGATTTATCAATTCTATAGTCCCACAGTTCATCAGGCTCTCTACGTGTGTTAGAATCGCGCACCACAAGACTGCTGGTTTAAAAGCCTGCACTATCTAACTATATCTAACTTTTAAAAAATAACTATATTTCTGAACGATTTCAAACATGGTCGCGCAGTCGAACGTGATCGTAACCAGTATCGCGCTGGGTGCTGTTGTTGCCTTCTTGTTGGGCATGATAGGTAAGATTTGTAGGTCATTTGTAGTGTTTAAATTAAATTCCGTTTGTCTTTGCCTCTTTGGTCACATTTTATTTTGAACTGGATTGTTTACTTATTCATAAGCATGAATAAAAACACAGGCCTTGTATATTTTGGCCTTTAAAATTCCCCGATTGTTCACATTCTTCAAAATTACTAATTATAATATAATGTAAATAGAGAGATTGTAAAACTCTATTACCGTATCATTATTTTCTATTGCCGTATCATTACCGGTAATAGATTACGAGCTATAATACCGGTAATCATATCTCTATTACCGTATCATTATTATTAGTATTATTGTGAATTAGACCCGTGCAAATGCGATGATATATTATAGCACGTAATCTGTTAACCTGACTTAATATTTCAGTGTACGAGGTCATCATCTTGGTGCAGCAAGGAACTGCAGACGAAAATTATGCGGTGCAAAAAATCAGCGAACTTACACGGACCGATTCCGTTAAGGACGACTTCATCGTCAATGAGGTCAATGCTTCCAAGATCCGCGACAACCTTAGGTAATCCAAATGTAGTTAATTACCTTAGGTAATCCAAGTGTAATTAATTACCTTAGGTAATCCAAGTGTAATTACCTTAGGTTATACAAGTGTAATTACCTTAAGTTATCCAAGTGTAATTAGGTAATCCAAGTGTAATTAATTACCTTAGGTAATCCAAGTGTAATCAACTTAGGTAATCCAATTGTAATTACCTTAGGTAATCCAAGTGTAATTACCTTAAGTAATCCAAGTGTAATTAACTTAGGCAATACAAGTGTAATTACCTTAGGTAATCCAAGTGTAATTAATTACCTTAGGTAATCCAAATGTAATTAATTACCTTAGGTAATCCAAGTGTAATTAACTTAGGTAATCCAAGTGTAATTACCTTAGGTAATCCGAGTGTAATTACCTTATATAATCCAAGTGTATAATTACCTTAGGTAATCCAAGTGTATTTAAACAAGAAGGTAAATGACATTTGAGAAAAATATCTCAATCGAAATTTTATATAATATTAATTGTATTTTACTGATATGAATACATAAAAGAATTCACGAATTTCATTTTCGAGTACAAGAGATTGCAGCATCTGTGTTTGAATATCTGGTCCATGTAATTTGCTTGCTACTCTCTCTTTCTATTAAAATAAAATTTGAGATATATCTCTCCTCCCTGTCATCAAAAAAACCGTCATTAGTTTTGTTTCCCATCAAACTGAAATAAACTTCTTGGTAACTATATTTGCGTATGGAATATTATTATCATTGATTTTTTTCGTCAATTAAAATTACTTTTTAGTATTTTACCTCCAAATGAATTATACCGTCAGTCGTCCGAATTAATCAGATTCCTTCTAAGAGGAGCGCAGTCGTGCACCACCAATTTTGTGCACCACTAAGCTCTGAATCGAATGCCTTGGATCTCTCCTGACATCCACCAATCAGCCGTGCACCACTTGGCTTTGTCCTCCTCCGGCCTTGCATAAAACCTGCCGTGCACCACCAGGCCGCGTATCGAATATGACTTCCCGGGCATCGTTAAATTACGTAATTTTACGTTCACAGCATCTGAGGTTAGGTTCCAGATAGCATAGTTCTGTTCCAAAATTTATCGTCCTTCGACGAGTGGCCGTTCGACCGAGGACTGGTTCGACGCACGGCCTAAATATGATTGTCCAGAAGGGTTGAAGGCTACGTTCCGGAAGGCAGGAATCATGATGGTCCATTACATTCAGGGCAGTGGTGGTCTTCGGCAGGCGACCCCTTCTAAGATGTGAACACTTAGGTATCCCCTGCAGGTATCTGACTAGCGCCCCTCACGTCGCCGGCACTGCAGAACAAGCGGACACCGCCCAGTGGGTGTACGACCAGTGGCTGCAGCAAGGTCTTGTTGATGTCAAGACCATACCGTATGAAGTGCTCCTCTCGTATCCTGATGAAAACAACCCTAATAGAGTAAGGAGCTTACATATACACACGTCCCTGTGAAAGACTTTCTTAAATTTATCCTTATATTAGCGCTCATATTAGGGAATTTCAGGTGAGAATATCGAATTTTTCAAAAAGATTATGTGTCTTACAAACGTATCATATTTTGCCGACGCTAGTTGGGTTCAGACAAAACTTTCCATGTTCAGCCTAAATTTTAGAAGATATTGTTTATTATTTTCATTAAATTCTTACGTCGCCAAATCTTCAGTCTCCTAAACCCTTCTGGGTTCTTCCAATAAACAAAAGCACTTACGTTTAAATTAATAACCCTCAATACTTATTCTAACCACATTTCCAGTTTTAAAAGTTACGAGGTCTTATATTATACTCTCTCCCCCGCTGACAGGTTCGCCTCGTCTCAAAGACGGACGGAAGTGTGGTGTTCGAGTCCGTGTTCCGGCAAGAGCCGCTGTACGCGCCTGAGGAAGCGGATCCGCGCGTGCTGCATAACTACAATGCTTACTCCGCGGCTGCCACAGTCCAGGTATGAAGAACAATTTTATTTAAAAAATGTATGACTTGATTTCAAATGCAAAAATATGTGTTTTCTAAATCCGAAAATGTTACGGCCCACTGTGCCACCATCCACGTATGTAGGATATATATTATATATATTTATTTTAAATTGATGATTTGATTATATACGTATACGTTCATAATATATAATATATATGATTATATATATTATACGTTCTGCTAACGTATATTACCTTATAATAAGTAGAAAAAGTATTCACGCTGCTTTTATGCACGAAATTCGATAGATAATTTATAGACAATTCGTTTTTCTCTGAAGCATAATATAATACTAATGATATAACATTAGCAGCAATAATAATAAAAATAATAATAATAATAATATTAATAATAATAATAATATTAGCATTAACATTTACACTAATATTAATATAATTAATAAAATAATGATATAAGTCTTCTTGACATTCAAGGGAGACTTGGTGTACGCAAATTACGGACGCGAGGAGGACTTCGCTGAGCTGGCGCGCCGCGGTGTGGACGTGACAGGCAAGATCGTCATCGCCAAGTACGGCAAGAACTTCCGCGGCGACAAAGTCAGTGATGACGTGCGAACGGAAGGTCATGGTCGTGAGTCATGGTCGTGTCGTGAGTCATGGTCGTGTCGTGGGTCATGGTCGTGTCGTGAGTCATGGTCGTGTCGTGGGTCATGGTCGTGTCGTGAGTCGTGATTGTGAGTCATCTTTGTATAGTGAGCCGTCGTCGTGTAGTGAGTCATGGTCGTGTCGTGGGTCATGGTCGTGGTCGTAAGTCATGGTCGTGTCGTGAGTCATGGTCGTGTTGTGAGTCATGGTCGTGTAGTGAGTCATGGTCGTGTTGTGAGTCATGGTCGTGTTGTGAGTCATGGTCGTGTTGTGAGTCATGGTCGTGTCGTGAGTCATGGTCGTGTCGTGAGTCATGGTCGTGTCGTGAGTCATGGTCGTGTCGTGAGTCGTGGTCGTGTCGTGAGTCATGGTCGTGTCGTGCTTTACTCCGTTTGTTGCAAAGGCTTGTAAAGACCTGATCAGGCTTGATTTTGAACGTTACTGTCAACTAAAAATTCACAGCACTCAATTGTGATATATAGTTAATCAATCAATATATAATTAATTGGCGTTGATAGAATCTGATGATGAAGTGGACAGCGCAGCCAATTCACTCTCCAGTTTTTTGGCGACGATTTCATTTCAAATGAAAAAAAAGTTTTCTAAATCCGAAACTACCATACGGTTAAAGTAAAAAAATTGAAGCCATTACATTTCTACCTTGGCTGATATTCATTTAAATTTGAGGGGAAAGTACAAACACTGCAATAATGCACTGGGGAACTTTTATATAGGTTCATAATATACAGGATCAAAATATGAACTTGACCACGCTCGCATATTTCATACCAACAAATATTATTTCATCATTAAAATGTGGTTGATCATACATTAAAGAAAAAATATTTTTCAACCGTAGTTCATCAGACCGTTTAATTTCGTAAGGGATTCAAGCATTTCTTAAATGGAAAAGCCTCGTTGAATCAATATTGCTAAGCTCGATTGCTTTCGCATAACTCACGTTGCCTATGGAATTTTTGGATCTCAAAAAATGCCTTTGTAATTTTTGTGTCTTTTTCTTTTGAAATATTTTGCTGCACGTACTGAGGTATGATAAGTTGTTTTTCCTCCAATATAATGCTTCGAATTTCAGAATATTTTTATTTGATAATTTTAAAAAATATTTATATTCAGGCGAAGGCTTGCCAGGAGCACGGAGCTCTAGGCCTGGTGCTCTACAACGACCCCGCGGACTACGACCCTGACGGGTGAATGATTATTGTTGCTGAATGATTGATATTTGTAAATGGTTTTGATAGGTTAAATATTCGTTATTGATGATACGTTATTATAGAATAATGGTTATTGTTGCTGAATGGTTTTTATAGGAAATGGTTGTTGGGGGACTATCTCTTACTAAACTGACGTCTCCCAGACACATAGCACGTGATCGTTCTTCGAGACTTTAATAAAACTTTTCAAGACCAAGGATTTTCTTCAATGAATCAACAGTTGCAAGTAAATATAATTAACAATGAATAAATAGAAACAAAACACGACAAACCTAACACCCTAATCCTAACTTGACTTTAACTTGACTTTAACCGTGCGTTCATTCACTTTCACTTCACTAATCACGTCCAAATATAGAGTTCATAACTTGGGCTCATGTATCAAGTTCGAACATCGAGGCCTTCCTGAAATAGAACGCAATAACACTTGAAATAACTAACTAGAGAATGAATTCATAATAAACAAACAAATTAACACGCACAAATAATCAATAACATGAAACTATTCACTTCTAAAATGGAACAAACACAAATATAATCACAGAGCTCTCGATTAACGTACCTCCACGGCAAGAACACAAGACACAATGATAGGTAAAACGCAATGTTGCTGGAGGTCACGGCTAAGGTGATTGAAAACTAAAAATGAAAAATCAAAATCCTAATACCTATTACATTGCTACTTATGTCTATATATACATGAATAAATCTATTTTTCCTCTACATGGTTATTAGGTGAAAAGTTTTGATAGAATAATAGTACTGACGGTGAATGGTTTTGAAGGATAAATTATTTCGAAAGGTGATGCGATGTATTTTTTAAAAATGTGTTTTTATAATGATATTTCTACTATCTGCACTAGCATTTCGTCATTTCAAATCTATATATGTCGAGAAAACCTTAATAATAGTTTATTATGTCGGAAGCTCTCAACTTGTATATGACTCCATTGTGTAGGTTTCTCCATTAGATTTGCGTTAATAAAATTTTTTTTTCTATTTCTAAACTAAATTCTCAACGATTCAAAAATCTTGTTACATCCATCACTACGAATACATGATCAAATTTTCTCAATTTCTCAAGCCGCTATCAAAAAACAACCAAAGCCTTAAAATTTATATTTTCAAACATGATATTTGACAACAACTAAAACTTTAGACGTCAAGACTTAAGTTTTTTAGACAAGAAAAACTTTTTAAATTAATATTACGTAACCATTAATACGATAGGAGAACAAATTAACGACTTTGATGCATGAAATCCGAACATTGAAAATTTGTTGTTTGTTCTATACCGGAATGGCATTAAAATTTATGTTGCATTTTACACATGGATTAAATTAATTGAGCAATTAATGTTCTTAAATTGCAATGGAAGTCCAAGCATAAATATTTTTTACTCGATGAAATTAATTCGAATTAAATAGTGTCGCTGCCAAAGTGAGTGCCGTAAACGGAAGTTGTTTCCATTCATATTTTCTTTTACTATTTGTATTATTATCATTGAGTTTATTCATCGATCGATATTTTAATGCATTGATGATATCGTTAAAGGCTTGAAGTTTACCCTGACTCGGTGATGATGCCGTCCACGGCCACGCAAATGGGAAGCATCCTCGGCACCAAAGGCGATCCCCAAACTCCGTTCTACCCTGCCATCGGTGACATGATTACTTTACTTTTGATTACCTATAATATTTTACTTTGGCATCAAATTACGATGGATTAATTGATCTAATTTTGAAAATATTCTGTTCTGCCCTGCCATCGGTGACCATGATCAATTTTCCTTTGATTACTCGCCATATTTTACCCCTTGGCCATCAGATTACGAAGTAATGATTGATCTTCGCTTGAGAATTTTGTAGCACGAGTATTACAAAATTTGGTGAAACCTGTGATGACGGTCAAATTATTAACAAGAAATATTGGCTAATTTTAATGAACACCATGTAATTAAGTAGAGACAATAATAATTCTAAGTAAAATTATTATTACTTCATTCTTGAGCTTCATTTTATTCAAAATGCTCAAAAAAGACGAAATTCAGCCAACTCATATTTTATGACGTTAATAAACTGTGTTTTTACCATTCGACTGGCACGTGAAATAAATCATTAGTTCTGTCAGATAATAGCATAATCTTTCTTGATGAGATTTTCGCAGCTTCCGATGTGAGTGAACAATATCTATATCTTCAATTGTCTTCATAATTCCTGATAGGGCTCCCAGTCTGTTTTTTCGAGGGCAATATAACCGCTATTTTTTTTTACGTAAAAAACAATGAATAGAAGCTAGCAATGGCTGAAAAGCAGAAATTTTATCAAATTGTAACTCTGTAATTAGCATTGTTTTTAGCTTAATTATGAGCAAGATTGCAGTTTTTCGTTGATATCTTTCTTTTTCAAAGTATTTCTGCCTCTCCTGTAAATCTCAGGTTATTTTTTCAGCTTCAGTGCTTACTTTGAATTAGATTCATCGGATTTCCGAGGGAGAAAAGAAATTGAACGATTCTGCATATTTATTTCAAGTAAATAATTTTTATCTCCTTAATAGAAAGCTCATTTCGGTACCCCGAAGATGAATGCGAGTTGCCCGCCATCCCCTGTCAGCCCATCAGTTACGGCGACGCTTATCATATCCTCAGGTGAGAAGCCTACATTACAGTCTGATAATTGGCTTGAAAACCTACATCACTGTTTGATTATTGGCTGAAAAGCCTACCTCACTGTTTGATTATTGGATTTAGAAGCCTCTCTTACAGTCTGTTTATTGGCTTGAGAAGCCTTTTTCACAGCTTAATTTTTGGCTTGATCCCCCTACCTCAAAGTCTGATTATTGGCTTCAGATAACCACCCCACAGTTGAATTATAATCTCGAGAAGCTTCCTCACAATCTGATTTTTGAGTTGATTTATCATTTACACACTCCTTCCAAAGTACAAACAAAAAATCGAAAATAATTGCATGCTCAATTTTTATGGAAACGAAACCCAAAGTATCAACTGGAATCATTAAATGAGTTTGATGGAAATTTCGACTTGCATTATTTCTTGCACGACTCTTGCAATTAAAAGAGCTTAAACTTCCCTTAACGAAGCTGGTAATGGGTAGTTAATTATTAATTATTATTTCTAACAACTTTTATTCGTTGACTTCCATAGAGCCATGGAGGGCGACGAGGCCCCCGCTTCATGGCAGGGAGGCCTGAACTTCACCTACCACTTGGGCCCGACACTCGCCTCGGGGCTGGAGGTGCAAGTGGAGACCCACACTACCAACCGCAGGGCGACCATCACCAACGTCATCGCCACCATCCCGCAGACTGCCGGCGACGATCCAGGTATTGTGGCAGTGACTAGATTGCTTGAACTCTGTTATTTTAGTTGCAATGGTAGGTACTTGATTATGTATTATTTCGCTCTTTGAAATTGCACATGTAAAATAAAGAAAGGTAAAGTTCTAACATTTTGACTCCATAGCAACATTAAATTTTGTGCTATAATAATAATATTGCACAAGTTGACTTTTCCCGCGCAAAGATTGGAATAAATAACTTTGTTTTAGTCGTTTTCCCCCAAATTATAGTACTTACTCAATCTTTAATATTTCAGTGTGAGGATCACTGGAAAGTAATATCAAGAGTTCCACTTGTTGTAGGTAAAATATTTTAATAAATATTGGTTGCTGTCTAGACCGATTTGTGGTGGTGGGCAACCACAGAGATGCGTGGATGTTCGGATCAGTGGATCCCTCGTCGGGCACTGCCGTCATGATGGAAATATCGCGAGTGTTGATGGCTTACATCAACGAAACTGGTGAGTTGGGATCACGTAACTAGTGAGAGCGATTGGTGAACTGTTGATATGATATCATTAGACAAGTGAGAGTGATTGGTGAACTGTTGATTTGAGATCAGTAGACTAGTGAGGAGGACTGGTGAACTGTTAATTTGAGATCAGCAGGCTAGAGAGGAGGATTGGAGAAATTGTAAGTTAGAATTACTGAACAGGTGAATGAAGATTACTCTACTAAACTGGTGAGAGGGAGTTAGTGAACCGGTGAGTAAAGAGTACGGAACTGGTGCTTGGAAAAATGAACCAGTGAGGAAAAATAAATGATCTTTTCAGGGAAGGTTGTTTCACTAATGTTAGTTTGAATGGGTCATGAACATCTTATTTAGTGATTGTATCAATCAACATACCACATAAATTTAGGTTTTCACCTTCAAAGCAAGCATTCATTAACGGCATTAACTTGCATCTTAGGCGCTGATAGTTGAAAATGTGTTAAATTATTGATACCTTAATAATTCAGATTTACAATCAAATTTATTCGATCATCAGTCCAAACAAGTTCATACTTGCAGGTGTCATTGTTCAAATGTCATTATTAGATAAAAAATATAGTGTGTTGGAAGACATTACATGTTAACAAGTAAAAGTTGCAATAATGCTTCCTTGCAGAAAATTATTATTAGAAAACCTATTTGCTCAAGTTAGTTATTCATTGCTTAAAGAAGATAATTAAAATCCAGACTTCATAAAATAAAATATTTTGTTATCAAATTCTGAGATGGGCTTTGTACGGAATTTTTTATGAAACTTACGAATTTATTTCCACTGATTCTGATTTCGGGTCTCGCCAATTTTCAATAAACTGCAATAGGGAATCTTGAAGACATGCATATATTCTGGCATCTTGTATAAACAGGCATCTACTTTATGTGTTCTATAAATAAAAGTAACGTTGCGCAGTACAATATTATGTTGTGCGGTGCAGTATATCGTTATGCAACATAAGCGTAGAAAAATATTATGCTATGAAAGTGCTAAACAATGTTACATGCTAGGCTGGTCCCCGCGGCGTAGTATCGTCTTCTGCTCATGGGACGCTGAAGAATTTGGTCTCATTGGTTCGACTGAGTGGACGCAGCAGTTCAGCAAGCAGCTCAGCGACCGAGCTGTGGCCTACCTCAACATTGACCAGGCATTTAACGGTAAGCAGTTCAGTCGAAAGTTACAAGAGTATCCATCTCAGAAGTTTGAAAATGACATATTCCAAATTTTATGAAATTTGCGAGCTAATATTTTTTTTTAAATTTCATCAAGGCAACTACACGTTCAGGGCTCAAGCGTCCCCTCTCCTCAGAGACATCATCTATAACGCCACCAAAGAGGTGAGTTTGACACATCGCTGAAAGCTTTAGTGTTTATTGGCCAGTAAAGCATGCAGTACCAAGGTCTCTACTTGAAAGATTGATAAATGTTCTTCAACATTCCACTGTTGGATTCGAAAGATCCTAATTTTATTATTCAATAACGAATAATAAGTTCATTATTGCAATTAATATATAATTTTATTCCGATTATTTAAGACACTCGTTGGGCCCTCATCAGGAGAGCTCAACCAAATAAAAAATAAAACAAAAAATATTAAACAATTAAAGCTCCACCAAAATGCTTATTAAAACTCTATTATAACAAAAACCTAATTTAAATTGTCTTTATAGATTAAAACGAATTCACGAGTTTTCATTGATAAAAATCAGCCATAGTTTATTTAACAAGTTTTACTCTTAGGAGAGTAATATTATTACTTGTTGAATATCTAACAAAATTTCGTCACATTATAATTAAATAATCCATATTTTTACTAACAACATTTGAACCTTGCGGATATCACACGGTTCCGAAATTTCTTCAATTTAATTTGTTGTGACTAAATTCATCAACGGTTCCATGAAATACGTCTCGGACAAATTTACGGCCAGACTTGCGGCCGGTCTCGTGGCCGGTCTCACTCCCAATCTCCAAATTCAGTGAACAAGGATTATCTCTCAAAGAAATGAACGTAGCTCGATTAAACTTGTTACACTTATTCATTAGGACCTAGATCCTAATGAATACCGTTAGATCCTAATGAACACGTGTACCAAATTTTATCGAGCTACGTTCATTACTTTGAGTGATATTCATTGTTCACTGAATTTGGGGAGACCGGCCACGAGTCCGTCCGCCAGTCCGGCCGTAAAATTGTCCCAGACGTTTCCGAAATTGACCAAAACTATACAGGCGTAAAATATTTACGAATCATATGACATTTTAAAGGGTGAAAGTTGAATGTCAATGCATAAATTTAGCTCCACCACCTCACTGTGTAGGTGCCTAACCCTGACCCGGCGGAGGTAGCAGCAGGTCGCACCAGCGTGTACGACACGTGGCTTCATAGGCTGGCTGACCTCGACGATCTCACAAGACCTTGGTGATTTTATTTCAGTTGAATTTCAATTAAATTAAATTTAAATTTGTTTCAATTTTTATTTTAATTCAACTTTAACTCGGTTGCAGGATGCTTTATTTATTATGTCATTCCATTACAATGTTCATCATGTTAAGGGAAGTGATGCTCTCGGTCATCACTCGTAATAGTAGTAATACGATTATAATTAAAGTATTGAACCTTTTGTGTAATTGAATTTCGATGAAATTTCCAAAAATTATTCCGAACTTCTTGCAAATGTTCTTGAAGTCAATGCAAGTTATGTTTAATTTGTTTCTATTTGTTTGTAGGCGCTACAAGTGGTTTGGAAAATTAGCGCAGCTTCAAAAAAATTATTTCAAATTTTTATTAAATGTTGGTTTAATTTTCTCTTGTAACAAGTAAAGTTGAATTTTTTATTTCCGAATATTGTTATTTATGATTTATTTATCTTAAATATAATTGGACAATTCTGGTCTTTGTATTGTGGCAACTGTCGTACTTTGCTCCAGGATTGGGAATTTGGCGTCTGGCAGCGACTACTACAGCTTCCAGCAAGTGCTCGGGGTACCGAGTATGGACATGCGCTATACTGACGTAAGTTACACTCTTTAGCGGTCACACATGTTGCTAGTGAAATATCTGAGACCATATTCTCGTGTACAGTTCCAAAGTTATTTTGAGCATTTTTCGAATGTGTGAGCTCATATCAGCTCATATCAGCTGATCAGCTCATATCAGCTCATATAAAATGTGTTCACACACATCTATAATAATACTCTCGTCACCAAGCATACTCACATAATTTCCTTATTAGTGCTAAATCATGGGTTATTGTATTGTAAATAAAAAATTTTCAGTCAAGTGCCAGTTGCCTGTAATTTCCTTTGCTTGGTCTTCTAGTCAAGTGCCTAGTTACATCAGATTTCCATCTTTAAATCTTCGATAATTCACCGATAATTCATCGATAATTCATCATTAGTTCATCGATAATTCATCAATAATTCATCGATAATTCATCAATAAATCATCGATAATTCATCAATAATTCATCGATAATAGTGACTCTGTCACTGGTGACAGACGCGCTACGGGGAGCCGCTCTACCACACCCTCTACGAGACGTTCGAGCTCGTGGACGAGCTCTACGACAAGGGCTTCCTCTACCACGCCGCTACCACCGCAGTCGCTGCAAAGATCGTCGCCGCCGTCGCTTCTGCGCCTGTACTTAATTATGATCATTTGTTTTATTAATTCATAACGTGAATCCGTAGAAATTATATATATTATATAAGTAATAGAATGTAAATAATCACTTGTATAAATAGTAATAACTCGTGAAAATTTTGTTTGTTTATATGGTCTTAGGTACATTAGGTAGGCCAATACGCAATCCTTAATTTATTAATAGCATTAAGCTGGAAATAATCAACTGAGATGATACACGAGTGTGACGATAATTATATATATTTAAATTGAAGTGAATCGTCCTGAAACGAGATCACAGCTAAGTACGTTAACTAATTGATTGGCCACGCTATTGGTTGTGTACTTGGATAAACCAGTAAAATTGTGTCAAGATAATAGCGGTACAGTAATGGAAGAAATAAGTCGATCAATCTCACAAGTGAAGTACTTTCATTTATTAACTCTTTCATTTTCATTTATATATTCTACTGAAAAAAAAAATATATTTTTTCAAACTGGGCTGCTTTATCGTCTCGCCATTTCATTGAGCCTAATCACTAATTATACAATACATGTTTAATTTGTTCGCCTGTTTATCTCAGTTTTGTTCATTAATTCCTTTACCCAGTTCATTGCTGTTCATGCGTATTCTTTTTTGGCTCGGCCATTTGCTCCCCGAATAATGTTTTATATTTTTTTCCTGCAGCTGCTACTATATTCCTAAAACCGTTTACTAACCCGGATAATATATAATTTTATTCTGCAGCTTCTACCATATTCGTATACGTTCTATCCGGAGTTCATCAGATCGGCAGTGGTAGATTTGCAGCAGCAATACGGAGACCTCATCGCGTCACATAACTGCTCGCTCGGTTGGTACTGAAACTCGAGCAGTGTTTGGAGAGACGAGCTCTTAATTAATGCCAGAGAATAATGATTAATTTTGCTACTTATTACATGTTGGAATAAATTAATTGAAACATTAATTATTCGTAAAAAATTATTTGGAACCTTGAGTTACGAGGTAAGAAGAAAATTTATTTAAAATTCATGATTATTAGTTAAATTTATTATGAAATTTAAGTAACATTTTAATTATTTTTCGTTGAATATAATTCTGATATGCATTGTCTTCCTCAGTTGAGGTTATGTAAGCAATTCATATCAGCAGTCGTAAACTTATAGACATGGACCACCGAGAATCCAGAAAAAAGGCTTGAAGTCATTTATACTCGGCAACATTTTTGGGTTTGCAGAATTATTTTGCATCCTAAGTTATTCTGTTCACATTTCCTTAGCAAGAATTAAAAAATAGTATTTTTGTCGTGATCTTAGCCACTAGTAAATTGCACTTGATTGTTTGTGTACGAATATATCATTGGCTCCAGAGAGCAATGAACAAATTAAAAAAACTTTTTCATTTAATAGACATTAGCTGATCATTTCAGACGTTGAAAGAGCTACATGTTAGTTACTCACTCACTATTTGAATGTCTTTCCAAGTTATTTAATATCTCCGTTAAAAATATTCACCGTCTGTTCATGATTATTTTTTATTTGAACTAATCCATACCGGACTTTTACTTATAAAAAATAATTATTATAATACTGTATGGCAAGGCAATGTATGGTGATTGATGATCGTACACAGACCTCATGACGCAAGCAGTGGACCGCTTCACTCAGGACGTCGCCGACTTCAAAGACAGCCTGCAAAATACTGACTTCTCTGAGTGAGTTGTAAACACAAGTTCATTTAACCAATAATTATAGGCATAATTTTTTTTTCAGTTTTCGGCCATAAAAAACACACCGTCCGGGAACTACAGATACTGTATCACGCAGAGCAAATATTTTTGGTCCACTTTTCTTATTTCTTGTTATGCGAATTTTTCGGTAGCCAATGTTAAGAGAGACGTATCCAATTAATAGTCGAAGAAATACTGTAAATAAATAAGTCACATCCAAAATTCAACGATTTTAATATGAAATTTGTTAATCATTACTTAAATTTGCAGCTTATTGGTGCAGCGCCATGTCAATGACCGTCTGATGCTCCTTGAGAAAGCTTTTCTTGATCCACGTGGTCTTCCTCATCGTCCCGACTACCTGTGAGTTATGGGGAGCAGAGCTGCTATTACTTGATCACATTAGGGATAAAATAATAATTAAAAGCCAGAATTGAAATATTAATGCGATCAATACCTAAAAATCATTACGCATGCGTCAAACTTCATTAAAATACGCATTATAAACTATAACTAAATTTTCGTAACGTAACAGGCACGTTGTAACGTCACCCAGCGCCTTCGACAGCTACTCGGGCGTAGCGCTGGCCGGCCTCCACGACGCGCTCTACGCGCTCTCGGCCGCCCCTGACGACGCCGACCTCTGGCGGGACTTCCAGGAACATTTGGCCTCCGTAACCCATCTCGTGGCTTCTGCGGGTGATGCTCTGCAGGGTAGACTGTGGTGATGCTCTGCAGGGTAGACTGTGGTGATGCTCTGCAGGGTAGACTGTGGTGATGCTCTGCAGGGTAGACTGTGGTGATGACTTGTAGGGTAGACTCTGGTGATGACTTGCAGGGTGTGGTGATGCTCTGCAGGGTAGACTGTGGTGATGCTCTGCAGGGTAGACTGTGGTGATGACTTGTAGGGTAAACTCTGGTGATGACTTGCAGGGTGTGGTGATGACTTGTAGGGTTGACTGTGGTGATGGGCTGCAGAGTAGACTGTGGTGATGACTTGTAGGGTAGACTGGGGTGATGACTTGTAGGGTAGACTGTGGTGATGACTTGTAGGGTAGACTCTGGTGATGACTTGTAGGGTAGACTGTGGTGATGACTTGTAGTGTAGACTGTGGTGATGCTCTGCACAGTAGAGTGTGGTGACGACTTGTAGGGTAGACTCTTAATGATTCCTTGCAGAGTAGACTCGGAATTAAGTTGCCTTGAAAGGATGCGATGATTGAGTAATTTTCATACAATTCCACTTTAGATTTGTAATTGATTCATCACTACTTCGTCCGTATGTACATTCAATCACTTTGTGTACCGATGAACAGGCAAATAGACCTTGTGCAATAAATTTTTTGAAAAACTATTTATTTAATTTATAAACAATCATCTTCACGAAAAGTACTAGTAGCAAAGCTGTAATAAGATCCGTATTTACGACAAACTTTGAGGAAAACCTACCATTGAAGCTAGGGTTACAAATAGAACTATAATACACCTGTTTTTTTTATAAAAATAATTGATTCCCTTTCACGCTCTCATATACCCAGCACGACTTGCGAGCAAATTGTTAGTCTGCATAAAAGCTTTGAATGCAGTCCACGGGCAACAAGTTGTAACAAGTCAAATGTTAGAAGTTGTTCGCCCTAATTTCATTAGTTGCATGAATTGACTCAACATGATTCGTGTATATGTATATATGAAGATGCATACGCAGGTTTTCATTAATTAAGTTGTAAACGTTTTCCGCACTTGATAGCAGTCACAAAAATATTGAGGCGGGTTTGCTATTAGAGTCGCTGCAGCAGCGCGAACACTTTTAATTAAGTGCGGCAAGGACATCATTGTTCGAGTATCACTTTAATCAGGCGTGGGACCAAAAAATCCGCTGCAATGTAAGCGACGCCAGCCTGAGCCGCGATGCTAATTAGACTCAAAATGTTGGGCTGCAGAGCGGGTGGCTGAGGCTGGGTTTTGCTATTAAAGCACTAACAGTAATATTTATATTTTGTTTTAATAGTTTAAAAAACACTATTTTGTGCAAATAGAGATACAACTTGCTTAAAACATTGAGACTTAAAACCAATAGTTTTATATTTTTCAGCACATTGAATGCTGAAAAAGTGAGTGAGTCTCTCCGCCGCTTCTTGACTCGCTTACAAAGAGACCACATTGAAAGCCACACGGGCTGAGAAAGTTACGTATGATAATAAGCGGTAAATAGAGAAGAATATTATTCAAGTTGTTAAATAAGTTGTGTGGAAAATTTTAGTTCTGGGGCAAGGGAGAGTTTAGTAATATTATGAGGAAAAGCGGCGTGCAATATTCCTGCGCATTGATAGTGTGTCAATAATCATGGAATGCTTTACTCTATATGCTGAATAATTTAAAATTTGTCCAGTAACGACGCTGATCATATGAGCAACGGGTTATGAGTATTTAGATGGGATATAAATTTAAATGAAGCAGCATGAGGACAGAAAAGAAGTGCCAATTACGTGATGGAAAAAATGATATCGTGTTAAAGAAAATTTATGACTCTTTCTTTCGACGCCAAGTGTTGTGTTAATTAATCATAAGATTATTTTTAATTTACGAGAAACTAATTTGTATGCGGACAAAAAATTTAAGTAAGATGGGCTTCAAAATTTGCTTCATAAACAATAATTCGGTCCATGTTATCATTCAAATATTAGCGGTAATTTTATGAGCGATTCATACTCTTAGATAATTTATATGCATTTTCTCGTTGTCTGTCGTCTTTTTGAGAATTGTTGTGGTGTGGGTTATTATCTGCGCGTACGCTGAACTTTTCTTTAAATTTTAATTAAGTGGATCCTCCAAGTGGCAGCGAAGTGCACCCAAATTTCCGAGTATCGAAGAGAAATATTTCGGCCGCGGCTAAACTAATTGATTTTCACTCCTAAATTCCTCCGATTCCACAGACACCTCCACAAGTGAAGAGGTCTGCTGTTGCTGGCCGGAACATATAATTGCAAACAATAACACTGAAAATCGAATGATATTGATCGGAATATAAATTTTACGAAAATGTAATTTTTCAGCGATCTTTGGGATTTGGGAAAAATTTTAACTACTTTATCCTCACCCATCATTATTATTGTGTACAAATTGTAAATTTTTCGATTTCCTAATTCCCTATGAGCTGAGGTTTTATAATTTTTCTTCGTCATCGAACGAGAAAATCATTCATGCGCATAATTTGTTTATTTCAACCTTGATACCAACAATAAATATGAAATAATGGCAACGTTCCTGAACCGAAATAAAAAAAACATTCGAGGCATTAAGCAGTGAGAAAATAAATGACACTCGTCATTGAAGGTAGAGATTCCGCCTATTCAATAAGGTCAATCCTTCAAAAGGTTCGTCGAATTTATATTTCAAGAACAACTAGTCTTCATCAAACTCATCTCATTTATCATCATTTGAAAATAAGCAAATGAGTTCAATTTCTGCCGATTCAATTACAGTCAGTACAATTTTATTTAGTTACAATTACAATTTTGTTACAATTTCATTTAATAATAGCCCGATTTCCTTATTCTCTTCGGCAAATAATATTTTAACATTTATCTCTAATTTAAACTCAGGATTTTAATAACACATTAAGTCTAGATATTTTATTTCTTTAGGAAAGCAGAAGTCTAGCCAAATGTAATTATCTGCATTTTACTCACAAGAAAAGTTACTTGAAAAATAATTTAAACTGTACCAAAAACGTCACAGGATAAATATCTAAACAATTATCTATAATTGTCCATGTAATAAGTTGAAAATTTCCTTGTTACTAGTCATTCGAACCGCTGTATTAATTTTGAGTTATTTCAAGGCGCAGATGACTAATTTTCAATTAATTAACTTAGCACTTAGCATGTATCACAGCCATTTTCTCTTGTCTGAGTTTCCCTTAGTCGTTCAGGGACCTGAAGTAAACCAATAATATATTTATAAACCTCAACCATTCCAATAGATTCTCTGAAATTCCAACTCTCTACGCATATATAAATGATGTGCATCAAAAATGAAGTTTCTATTCGCTTGAACTAACGCTGCACAAATTCCCAGATTTAATATTCAATAAGTTACTTATGCGATGAGCTTTTGTCGAATCCGACGTTGAGAAAGACGAAGATTGGAGGTAATAAGTTGAAATAAAATGAACCAAATTCGCTCGTTTTGGAAGCTGAAAGAAACAAAGCACATTGAAATATTTTAGATTGTTGATTGGTTAATTTTTGGAAGCCACACAGATATCGTTGCATGGAAGGTAAAATCAGCACGAGTGAATAAAAGATATAATGCTGGCGTATATAGAAAGTCTGTACAGCATATGCAAGGGTGTACTCAAGAGCCTTCTTCATTGGCTTGTTAAGGTTATTTGCATTTATATTGGCTAGCTAGCGTCGTCATATGACAGCGTCATCAGAGACCTGCTAGATATACATGCACAGCCTTCCTACGCGCCGCCAAACTCCAGAATAATGCTCAGGGACAAAAAACTGGGAAGTTTAGACGTCGTATTTAAGCGCGGCTTATTACCGTACAAATTTTAATATAAGCTCACTTTTTCAGTTCAATTCGAACACAATTTTATTCCGAGAATGGCCCGAGGTTTAATTTTTTTGCAGGGCGGAACAATTTACTTTCAGATCCGAGCCCATTATAGTACGACATACAAGCCCGATTTGAATATAAAGTCAACTGTAAACACTCAAGTTCAAGCAAGTAAGTTCAAGTACAATTTTTTTATTCCATTATTTTGATTATCATTATATTTTAATGGAAGGTAAAATCAGCACAATTTTTTATTATCATTATATTCTCACATTCAGATGTAAGTTTACACTATCCTGCTTTAAAAGACGATCAGATTTTCAAGTAATGATTCCCGCATTAGAATCTCTCTGACGACAATGCTACTGACTTTACACTGCAGCATTGCGCTCCTGCAAGACTCAGTGTCAAACAAATAACTTTGTGCAGAAAAAATATTGTCTAAAAAGCATTAACGCGTCACTGAAAAAACATAATATCATCGAAATTACAACTCGTCGAACAAATATGGAATCAGGAAACACACAAAAAAATCTCTAAAACTGCCAAGAGGAACATGTGAAGTCATATGAAATGGCAGCTACGAATTAAATATTACTCTTTCCATTAAATTAAACATTCAGGAGTACCTGCATCCATGCAAATACATACGATTCACATATTCAATTACAGCATCATGTTCCTGCTCGTCCTTCGCTTTCCATTGCTGGGGCAGCCGACCTAGTTGATTTCAGAGACAAAAGTTGCCCGATAACGTCGTCCAATTTGAAGTTACGGACTTGTTTGGAAGTGCAACAAAACTTTGATCATAGACGCCTTACTTTGTTGGTTGATTGCTCCTCGTTCTTAAATGATGGCCTTGAGATCCTGGACTTGGACGGTTTTCCGATGTCTGATCACTATAGTACGTTGTCCATAAGAACACGTTAATACTTATAATCATTTAAATCACAAACGACCCATGGGTGCTATACTGACTGCCATATTAAGTTCAGAAAGTTTTATCGTCGTTTCTATAAATTAATTGCGAACTTTGAGCGAACTCGCATTATCAGTGTATTATTAGAAATTGGAGATACAGCGCATAATTGGCAAATAATTATATATATATATAAATGTTTCTGAGCGATATTACTAATTTGTGAACCGGATCTCTGGAGCAAATGCAATTAAATGCCAATTGACAATCAAAAATTGATCCGTCATTATCCTCTTATGCATAAACGAGAAAAATAAACTCGAAGAAAATTAAAATTCAAAACATGCGTCAGTAAATATTAAAAATATTTTCATTATAAATATCACAATTTATCAAACGATGAATATAACGATTCGCTGTCCGATTTAGATACACTGCGCGCCCAACAAAGCATGCAGTCACTGCCCGGCATAACATTTTGTTCTAAATGGAATGAAAAATTTATTCCATTTCCCGCATCACTGTAGTTATTTATGACTGTGACTCTATAACAAGCTTTTAATTCATTGTTAATCATATATTAAGTCGGACTGTTAAGTTGCAATAAATTCGATTATTACACTGAATAAGAAATTCGACACTGTCGCATTTCCTAATGACTGAGATAGACAGTTTCATTGAGAAAATCCATGTCTTTCTGCCAGTTTGTATGGTTAAAGATAAAAATTTCCTTTGTTGTTAAAAAAAATACAAAATTCCGCTATCACGCATATAACTTTAGGCGTTTTTTATTGTATCGTGGCCGGCTTTCGCCAATATCAGGGCCTTTTGTCACCGTCGGATTTTAGCAAAGGATTTTACTGCTCG